GTGTACAGGCTCTACAGGCATAATCACTCAGTATTTTCAACTGATTCTTTGATGGGCTCATTCAGGCTAACCAGAGGTATCTTTTGGCTCTCTGTCCAGTTAGCGCATATTTTTTTAACAGGTGCTGAAAATGGCCATCAGAACAAAAACCTCATCACAGCTCCAGCTTTCACCCAAATTAGCTCATACCAAGGGAAGTGTAATACAACTACATAATGTAGAGGAATACACAACTACATTTAGACTACAATAGATTCTCGGAAAGAACCAGAAAATGACAGATGGTCCATTCTTTTTGCACTCAACTATAAGTTATTGCATATATCTGACTCACTATCACTTCACTTAGTGTTCTGCTCATCTTGTGGACTGTACTATTTCAATCAATTTGGCAGAGCCTGTAACCCATGATGGGCCTGCCAAAAATTTGGTTTCAGTGACCCCCCAATTGCCATGACATAGACATTTTTTTGGGCAATTTTTAGCAGTTAAGCACCACAGGTGATGAAATTTTTCTATATCAAGCCAAATGAATTCAGCACACCTCGAAAATCTCTGTGACAACTATATTTTAGCATTTTCAGAGGCCCCATGACATGTGACTGCCAAATTGAATGAAATGGTACAGTATTCTCAAGTCTCCAACTCTGAGCCTACACCACTCTCATCTCTGACAGACTTAACTCCATACCTCTCAGTCCCAGAACTTAACTCCCTGTCACCAAGCTTCTTGGACTTAGCTTTGTGCACTTACTCTTCCAGACCTACCTCTGTATGGCAACTCTATTATAGATTGCATCCCCTTTCAGTCTAGTAACTACTCATGGTATCTATGTCAACCATTTCCTCACCTCTTGCCCTATCTAAGGAGTAGGACAGATCCTAACAGATGGTATAAATTGTCTTGGACCAAGTAAGTGTTGTGTTTAGCAGACATTGTCCACAAAGTCAGAGAATACATCAATTTGTGTGTAAGATTAGCTAGGTTGAAGGAATGAGAAAAGGAGATGGACATGCCCAGGCTTGAAGTGATCCAGTCTGGTATCCATAAATGAGTTGCCTAAAGCTCACACTTTCTCGTTCTTCATTTGTTGCATCCAAGGGAGAGGTGAGGTGTTTGAAAAGGGTTTTAGGTGAAGTGCAGCTGTTGTCTTTTTCCATAATAACAAGAAAGTGGGTGCAAATTGATGAGGGAGCTTCAGACTCTGTATGAGAAGAGAGTGAGCAGGAGGCTTGTGAGGATGAGGAGGGGAGGAGCAAGGATGAGAATGGGGGGAGTGAGACTGAGAATGATAGGAACAAGACCAAAAATGATGGAAACAAGACTGAAAATGGCAAAAGCAAGAAATTCAAATGTGAATGGGGGGGGTGAAGACAAGGATGGGGAGAACAAGACCAAGAAAGGGGAGAATGAGACATAGAAGCAGAGCAAGACCGAGAATGGGAAGAATAGTGATGTGCCGGCTCAGGCTTGGCCTAAAATCTCTGGCTTTGGCCTAGCCTGAGGGGGGTTGGGCTTCACAAAATTGTGAGCCAGGCCAAAAGCCAAAAATCAGGCTTTGGCCTCGGCCAGGGCTCAGGATAGATATGCAAGATGTCACAAATTTTCAGCTCAAATCAATTGTAACTGGTCTTATTCATGTGTAATCTAACACAAGTACTTGAGTACACTATTCTATCTATGTTTGAGTGTGAATTGACACAAATCTATGGCAATAAACATGCCTCATAAATTTGATCTTAATTAAAACTCCGATGTGATACTGCAAACATCTCCAGTCACTGATTCTGGATCTGAGTTGTAATGCATTTTTAAATAGCTTTGCAACCATCTGAAAAAATGTCTCTTACAGATGAAAATTAAAAGATATATCCAAGATACAAAAGCCAGGGCCCAGGCCCCAGGCTTTGGCTTTCCAAAATGCTGAGCCAGGCCAAAGGCCACCTTCAGGCCAACCTTTGGGCCCAGCTTGGCCTGGCTTTTTTTGGCCTGGCTTCTGGCCCCAGGCCAAAGCTGGCACATCACTAGGGAAGAATGAGTCTGAGAATGGGGAGAATGAGACCAAGAATGAAAGCAAGGCCAAGAATGATAGAAGCAAGAACAGGAATAATGGGAACAAGACTGAGAATGGCAAGAGTGAGCATGCAAATGGGGAAAGTGAGGACAAGAATGGGGGGAGTGAGAATAAGAATGAGATAAGCAAGAGGTGGCAATATAGTCCACCATCATGTTTGCCTGGTAAACAAGTTCCTGAACAAGTCCAATAAATTTGTTGTGGGTGTCTGAGGAAGGGCATTGAGCAATATTGGAAGCCAGACCAGCAACAGTGGTCATGCAGTTGACAGGGCTTCCATCTGGATTGTAGTCATCAGAGCTCATGATGGGGCACAAGCAAAAGGTTAATGATGTCATCAAAAAGATGTGTTTTGCATGTAACTTTTTTGAGCTACCAATCATCAGATTCCTCACTCCTCACCATCCTCAGATTCCTCATTACCCAAATCTTTTAGGACACTGCTAACCATCTTCTGGTATTTTATTTTGTCCTTGCAAAACTTGTTCCAAACAAAGGGTAGGTGGTTCAGGGTGACAATTGTAATGCCAGTCTGAAGGAATTTGGGGTCGAGATCTTGGAGGCTAGTCCCATGCACATCAGATGAGATTCAGACAACCAGAGTATTTGGGGCTGCCTTGATGCACATTTGGTATGACCCGATATAGAAATGACCTCCAGCTTCAGGAGGGTGATCCCTGTGGACAGTCCAAGCAATGGCAAATTTGTGGGGTTGGTATTTGAAATGCATGGACCTGGTTTGCAAATAATCAGTTTTTACAAGGTAAGAAAGCAAAAACAATTGTTACCTGGCATAATTTTGAGTGCACACACCAGCAAGTGGTGCCATCTCTGCACTGCTGAATGCAAACTCCATCCCACTGACTTGAATGATATATTCACTTTGTGTTGTTTTCTTGTTAATAACATTTTTTGCAGCACCTTTTTCAGAGGACATTCACACCATATTGAATTTGTCAAAGAAGTTGTTGAAATCATCCATGATTTCAGAAGGCAAGAGGTCACAGCATAAATTCCAGAAGAGAGCAAAGATGGAGCTGGAGTGATAATCCATTGCATCCATGACACCTTTGGGTAACTTTTTATTCATGATATTTTGGACCCAATAAATATTGAGTTTTAAAATTTAAAATTTAAAATTTTTTTTAAAAAAGTAGAAAAAAAATTGGAAAGAACACACTTGTACATTTTGCAGTGCAGCAACCATTTCGCGAATGACCTTGTGCACAGCAGACCAGACATTGCCATTGGGGCAAAACTTACAAACCACCATGCAAAAGAAATGGCCATCATTGGCATCATGAAAAGTTCCACTATCGGGTGTCTCAACATCATGCATGAGGCACTTGGGGTCAACCTTCATCATTGGGAGGTGCTGCCTTCACTTGTCTGGCTGCTGGCCATACTTCAGTGTTTCCTCCATCACTTTCCAATTATAGGTGTTTCATATATCCAAGTCCTTAATGGTGGGTACACCTTTTTGTTCAAGAACCTTTTCAAAAAGGTTTGTGAAGGTTCGCCATTTTTGTTGCTCTGGTGGTGTGGACACAAGTCATGAAGCCAAGCAATTGACTTAAGCACTTTTTGGAAGACTTGCACTAGCCTAGTTGTTTTTGGCAGTTGTCATTGGCCTGCTTCAAGCAGTCAGAAACAGTTAAGCTGCATGCAGCACAAACATCACCAAGTCACATGATCCACTGGTCAGTCTCATCCTTCTTTGTGCAAAAAGTGAGTGCAGAGTAGTGGCACATGATAAGGATACCCACCTTTTTCTTCTTCCAGATCTTGGTGTTATTAACAACTTGGCAGATACAGGTGTTGAATGCTTGATGACTGTGATTGGTTCCAGCATTCCTTTTCCTTACCAGCTGATGCCACCCTACCATGCAAGCCTTGTCCATGTCACTTGGTTTATCTGAGTGCCAGTGCGCTTGCTATTATCACAAACAAACCACTGGTCTTTCACATCAATGTGAGCCTTGTCTATGTTGCTTTGGTTTATCCAAGTGCCAGCTCATTCACTACTGTTGTGATTGAACACTGCTTGTGTTCATGGCCTGCATTCCCTTACATGTTTACCAGCATCATAAGCTGCTCTTTGCCACAATTTGGAGCAGCTCTCAACTAAACAATAAAGTATGTTTCCAGGCCAAAGAACTCACTTGCTACTTTGCCACCTGCTGCTTTTGCTGGATGCCAACCTGTGAATATGCATCGCTTGTTGCCTCTGAGATAATTCATGCATCACCTCCCCTTTTGTGATGCAGTGCAACAACTTTGCCAGCTTCTCTCCTGAATTTCGACCCCAGCGTTCAAAAAGTCCCTTCTTCTTCATTGCAGCTGGCCCTTTCTTCCAGTGCTTCTTAGTCTCCCACAGATTCCTGCAGAACTGAGAGGATTTCTGGGGATTCCAGGGGATTTCTGGGGATTCCAGGGGATTCCTGAGGATTCCTGAGGATTCCTGCAGGACTACACTATGATTTTGGTAATTTTGAGTTGCAGTAAAAATTTTGTCAAATCCTCAGGAATCCAGGAAACCTGAGCTAAACTAGATGGAAAATCATGTGCAGTCAGAAAAATCTTTTACCTCATATCTCAAGGTCTTTATTTCCACTCTGTATTGCTGGTGTTTTTTCAGTAACTAGGGCCCATTTTCATATATGGTAATCTATCCAAAAATAGCCAGAAAATCACCAAAAAATTCAAATAGTTCTCACTATTGTTTATAATGTTAGGGTCCTTTGTTCAGAATCCAGAGCAACATCCAAATAAGGAAACTTATTTATTTCTGATAGAAAAATAGCCAGAAAATCAGAGAGAAAAATATAAATCCTGTCAGGCACTATCTTCAGGGTGTACTTTAGGGTCCATCCCAAAAGGAAATGTCATATAGTTTGACCAAACAGTGAAGAAAAACAAGATAAAGATGATTCTATTTGTCAGGGTCCATGTAAGGGGATGTTGGGATGTTGGTCACATGACCAGTTACCAAGAATAGTCAAAATAAAAGTTGTAGCCCTACACTGTAGCTTCCCGAATGTGTTTGAATTGTGTTCTGAAGTGCTCCAGTTGTGGAGATATGAAGTAAAGAATTTTCAAAAGTGTTGTGTTTTTTTTTTTGTTTTCTGCATATTTCTCCACAAAAACAAAACCAAATAACATGATTTCAGTATATTTGTAAAGCTAAGAGAAAGGGCTACAATTATTGTATCATGGGAAAAATGACTAAAAAAGAAAGGTGCATGCCCAAAAGGGAAACCGACACTGACAGACTACAAAGTTTACTAATAGACTACAAAAGACTACAAAAGTTGGACTTAGATTACAAAGTTTAGTCATATCTTATTGCTTTTTTTCATAAAGCATAGCAACACCTTCCATATTTGAAGATGTGCTCTGGATTCTGAAAACAGCACCTGACATTGTCACCAGTAGTGACTATTTTTATCCATACTTTATTACTATTTTTCATTTAAAAAAGTGCCCATTTCTATATTTGGAAGTCTGCACTGGACCCTCAAATTGGATGACTTCCCATAAGGTTTAGAAACCTAGATTATTTTTCTAAACTGACATGCCGCCATGCTGATTGCCAAATGGGTCACAATCTGTCAAGATTAAACTCTGCTTGTCATCGAGCACCCCCTTCTAGATGAAAATCTAGACGAGGCCTCCGACCCCCCCCCTTCTAGTTCTAAATCACTTGAATAAACCCTTTTTACATTGTCCAACGATCAAGCCCTGAGCGTCGCACCCATATCAGGTAACACATCGAGATACACCAACATATGTAGTAGGCCTTCTATAGGACTATACACTTGATTTTCCTCAAGAAATAGTATCTAAGGAATAAACAGTTAATGATGATTAAGTCATTTTTTTTCCAAAATCCATTGTGGACGAAGTTTTGTAAGATTGCAGCACGTTGACACGCGTTGCTCTCCTTCAAACGACGGATTTGGGCTGCCAAATTGTACACAACCATTGTCTATGCATTAAAGGCCACTTCTCTTTGTGTGATTCTGTGCCAATTAAAGCTGGAGGCGCAGTGGAAAAGGAATGAGCTCAAGTGGGGAGATCCCGAATGAGATCTGCTTCCACAGAAGAAAAATTGTGTGGTTTTGTATTGCTTGGTTTATGGTTTAGAAAGCTGGCTGAATATATTTTCGAACCCCACCCATCAAACATTTAGAAGATAATCTAGGTTCCTAGACTCTGTGGGAAGTCATCCATTAGTCACATGCTCATCAGTTATATGTTACTTATCACTTGGATCAATCCTGGGACTAGTCCTGTCCAAAAATCCTCAGGAATACACCCTCACAGGACTCATAAATTGGCTGACACATCAGCCAAATTAGAGTCCTGGGATCCTCAAAAATCCTCAGGAATCCTCAGGAATCCTGCAGGAATCTGTGGGGGACAATAAAGACCTCCATTGCAGTCATCCAACAGGTCCAGTGTCCAGTGCAGAGGAAGGGTATTTCTTGTGCTGTTCCATGGAGGGTAGCCTGGAATTTAGCTTTGAGATAGTGAGCTATTCTTGAGTGAGCTTTGTCAGAAAAACAGAGAAAAACAAATATGGATGAGTATGCACCAATATGTACACTTCAGGCCATCAGTTCTCCAGGTACTATGTCAGTTTCAAAAGTTTCATATAAGTATGATTGGCTTTATTGGGTGAGTTAGCAATTATTGTTGTGATTCCTGCTGATCTAACAGACACATGCTAACAGAGTCTATTGGCAACTATCATTATGATTTCTGCTTATCTGCTTGAGTCTGTCAATGTGTGTTTGTTCTGACAGGGCTTGTTAGGGCCTGCTTTCATTCAATCCATCATTATCAAAATGAAAAGTGAATTTATATTATTCCAAGCTTTTTACATCAGAGTAGTAGTAGTATTAGGTGGCCTACTTATTACCACAGCATAGTCTGATAAATCATGGTAACGTGAACCTGGAACATTTGGGCTTGATTCAAGTTTAGGCACCAAATATAGTAGAAGACTCAGGACCAAAAGCTGGGTTGGCAAGATGGAGGAAAGGCAATAAAATCTCAGTTTTCCAGAAGGATCAGAACATAATAGAATACACTCAACTCACTGTCACCCAATTTCCTTACAAAATTTGGTCTTTCTGATTTCTGGTTGGACAGATTGGTTTCAGAAGCACCAAGGATTGATGGCAGATCAAAGTTGTGATGAATGCACATTGGAGTGTTGTATTGGCATTGAGTGATCATGGGTTCGTTCATGAAATAACAAAGCACCCTGGGACTCAGCTGGCACTCTGTTGAAAGAAGATTGTTGGACTCAACAGAAGTCAGTGACTTGGAAGAATTGCGTAGGGAAAACCAAGGGAGAACAAGTTTGAAGTCCAGGGGAGGCGGTGCCAGTAACCAGACATCCTGTGATACAGGATTGGAAAGGAATGCCCAGAGGCCATAGTCAAACAGTACACCACCATTTGTTCAAAATGCTGATGGCATCTGGCATGAATCTCCGCTTGACAGATTACTGATGGAGGTCGCCCCGGCATGGAGGGCAGGTGTGTCGGAGCTTGGGGCGTAAATGTTAGAGCCAGCGGCTCGACACCTGACCCACAGGTTTTCAACTCTGCTCAGGAAGACCTGTACCGCCAATTTTCTTCGGGCGACGAAATGATGTACTTGAGATACAAATTATTCATAGTAAGATAATAAAATGATACATTGAGCACTTCCAAGTTCTTACAGGTAGAAAAGACACGGAATCCTGAGCTCAACATGAAAAGGCCCGTGCGAGAAACTCTCCAAAATTTCCTCAAGTCGTTTAAACTCCGCCCTATGTTTGGTTATTTCCAAACTTCAACCAGAACCAAACTCACCTTCCTCTCCACCACAACCGTCTCTCGCCCAGTTGCTTGCTTGCTCCCCTCATTATTTCTTGTTTTCATCTGTGTTCCACTACCAAGTGGTCTGCGCCCCATGTAATCCTCCTCATGTTGTTCCATTGGTTGTCCTTGTTACCCACCCGTGCGTCTGTGCGCGGTCACCACCTGTCACTGTTCTGGGCTTTTGTTCCTGCCCATTGCCCCTTTGTAGTTCCTCCCCGACAAGTGGCCACTTGCTAATACTGACTCTCCCGGACAGGTTCACTTTCGCATGCGCCACGTAGCAGCAGCCGCAGTAGACGCGCGCCTATCACCATCATCAAACCCAAGCTTGGCTCTCCAGACAACGTCTCAACGTGGTATCCGCCCTCCGCTACCCTCCTCTCATTCAACGAGCCAGAGGCTCCGCTTTGACGCGCCTTGTTTGTGGTTGTGCATTCGGCGGACAGCGCAAAGGGTGGTCGGGTGGGGGAATGTTTTTTGAACGGAAGCGCAGACACAGGTAGTAATTGGAACTGCCTCATTTCTCACATCCTTCCATACACCCTATACCTTTGTACTATGCAACCTGTTTATAATCCTTGCTTATGAAAATGTGGCCAACGTCATCCTCCTCCTTGCCCCTTGTATTTTATGGACTAAATAAGAACATGAACACCTAGTACAAATATGGCCAGGGAGAAATATTGAAAATATAGTGAATTTATGTAGGCTGGGCTGCCAGCTGGTCCCCAGCTGCCCCAGACAGGTAATGCCAAGATCGACCTGGGCACACCCTGCTATTAGTCGGATTTCGATCATGGTGTGGACTCGGATCATTATTGCCTGACAGGTGGGAAAACATGCCACACAGGGTTTGACTCTCAGGTTTTTCTCACATGCCTGTCATTTGGCGGTGTAGTATATAGCTAGATTTGGATATCTTACATAATTAATTGATCTTTTGTCTTGAACTACCATCTTGTCAGCTATGTTGCCTTCCTCTTGCACTACATGTAGTGCTTTGTATATCTGTACTTCCTACAGTATGCATAATCATATTGGGCCAGCTGAGTATCTTGTAACTACTCACTCCTCACTTATGGGTGTTGATCCTAGATTCACCCATTCTTGCCTCCTCCTTCCCTCTTGGCTTCAGCTATGCGAGAAGTTCAGAGTAAATGCTTCACTAGTGTTCGAAAGTCCGGTTAGGTCCAGTTATTGGGTGCCCAGGGGCTCTAACCGAGACTGAGACTGGTTAGCCTTTGTCCCGAAACCTAAAATAACCTAACCAGACCGCAACTAACCGGTTAGGACCGAAAAATAAAGAATCGGTTATAACAAGGCAAATATGCTCATATGTATCTTGATAGATATTATTTCTGCATATTCTAGCTTTAAAACGAGCCCAAGAACGCTAAAATCGGTGAAGAATTGACATATTTATGCAATTATCCTTGAAAGTCTACACATTTGAGTGATATTTTAGAGATTTGACTGTAACTTAGTCAAATTTTAAGCATTTTCGATGTTCTCAAGTGCGTTTTGAGGGTGTATAATAGGGCTGGTTATAACCGGTTATAACTGGTTATTTAACGGTTAGTTAACCGCAAAATAACCGGTTATTCCATTTTCGAAATCAACTAACCCTAACCGCGGTTAGGTTAGTGTTGTGGTTAGGTCCGGTTATTTTCCAGTTATTTTCCGGTTAACTAACCTAACTTTCAAACACTATGCTTCACACATCCAGGCTGCACCCATTCATCAGGAAAAGATGATTTCTCTGATAGATCGCCAGTTAGATCTGTAGCCAGATGTAGGAAAAGTAGGCACTGTACCTCAACCAAGTGCAACATGTAACTGCATTGGTCATGATAGCATGACCATGTTATTTGATAGTGCCTAGAGCTGATTGAGGAAACAATATCCTATTGGTCAGATGCATAGTTACAGCCAAATCTATGCTGGCTATCAATGCTATGGATTTTGTATCTACAGTTTCTCTATCCCACACAACACCCCCCTAATCCTTCAAGAAATGCCTCCACCACTGTGAGGTTATGCATCACCAACATCTGCCAATTGCAAAAAGTTGAAATGTGTATTGTGAGGAGTAGATGTTAAGTGCCACCCCAACTTCAGCAGCGCATTGCGCACACCCTGTGTCAAACACATCAATCCCTATGGTTGATATGAGATCAAGCACCTCATGCAGTGATCGCATTGAGTTGACAAGGTGTAATTTGTTGTGTGGGAGGGGGCGCAGGGATCTTTGGAGGAGGGTGGAAATGCAGGGGTTTTGAGAATCATTTGAATTCGAGGTAGAGGGGGGGAAAATTCGACGGGAGAGGTTAGAGCTGAGTGCCAGTCATATAGGCACCAAATCAAATGTATACCCCATAACACCAGCATCAAGAGACTTGTAGTGATTGTCACGGGTTTTGAAACCCGTGCGGGTTGCGGGTAAGGGTATGTGTGGGTAGGGGTACAGGTTGGACATGTCTGACCCTTGCTGTACCCATACCCTCAGCACGGGTTGGCGGGTTACCCACCATTAACTTGGTGGGTTTTCAGTAGGAGTTTGAATTGCGATCAACCATCTTGATCACAATTCTCACAACTACCTGCATGCCGCAAACAACAATGGTCATCATTTGTCGTCGCACACAGCCTCAACCACCCACAACCCTCACGGCACACACCAACGACGACGGCAACGACATGGCAAGGCCACGTCATCAGCCCCAGCAGCTGAACGAGCTCATGACAGGACATGGTGAAGACAACGTGGGACGTCGTTCAGACAGTGACGACGCATGCCGTCATCACTGTCTAGTCTTCCAGCTACGTCTCAGTGACTCCCCTCCTCTGTCCTTTGTTTACATCAGATGCAGGGACCATGTCGCCATTGGCGACGTGCAACTAGAACTAATGGCTACAAACGATGCTGGCAAACGACGAGGTACGACAACAGCAAATGACGATGCACGACGACGGTGAATGATGATGCACGACAATGGTGAACGACAATGCACGACGACGGTGAATGACAATGCCTGACGATGGCGAATGAGACAGAAGGGTGGAACATGAGGATGCATCGGTAAGGCGGGTGAGCAGCTCCCACCCTCTTCGTCCTTGCTGACCCATTTGCCATACTACAGGTTTCCTTTTAACGACCACTGTCTCTCCTCCAGCCAGGGCCACGGCGCCCATCACGACTGCCCACAACACCAACCCCGATGAGCTGAAGCCCGTCGCTTCGCCCCATCAACCACACCAACCTTGCACCAACCCAATCCTGACGTTAACGTTGCGTTGACCATCACCAGCCCACATCAATGGACCCCATCCTCCATCCCGAAGATATGCGAGTAGGTATGTGGGCGTTCTGAGGAAGCCACGGGCGAGTGGCAAGGTGCGTCAACCTCCACATTGTCTGGCCACTGGGGTGCATGCCGTACAGCACCCCAGTTACTAATATATCTATTATATGACTACCCTCGCAAGGCTGCACGGCAGTGTCAGTTGACACATGCAATGCACTTGCGAGGTTTTCTGGTCATTCTCAGGAGGCGTACCCTCGTGCGGGTTGGGGTACCCCTGGGTTTTTGTAAACCCGTACCGCTGGGAATACCCCGGGGTTACCCGTGACAATCCCTAGAGACTTGTAGGCTTCACTGCCTCAGCTTCAGCATCACACAGCATCCTGGCTTTGAAAGATAAAACTCATGTTGAGCCTGATGGGAAACCTCATTCCACGCCCCCAGCACACCTAGACGACGCCATCGGATCCCTTAAATCTGTCTCACAGATGAGCAACCAAATTGTCAGAGTTGGTAAAGGATATGGAACATGAGAAAGGGTGCCTAGAGAAGATCAGCACATCCGGGCTAACCAATAATCATGTGCCAGTGGATTGATTGGGCAAGATATTGGTGAAGGGAGCAAGGACATAGATAAAGGTTGTGAGTTGTGCAACATAGCCCGTTGATGCTGAGAAAGAAAAAGGTACATTAGCGATTCCACATCAAGAATGGTCCCACAGTGGTGGCTTACTCAAGCCTTGACACACAATGATCATAATAACCTAAGATTCCTTGTTAAAGATATTGCCTGCTGGTGTAGTGGAAACTATTGATAACTAACCAAAGCAAGTAATACCACAAGCCCTAGGCCTAGAGTTTGAGTCTCGCTCAATGCAGGCTTTTAAAATGTGACTATATGATATGAAATAGAATAGAATACTTACACTACACTACAAAATGTCAGTGTGACACATTGCAATACGGTTCTGCGGTATTAGAAAACCCGGACAAAATAAACCAATTCTGCTTTTAAGGTATTTCTCAAGCTACTTTGAACCATAGAGATCACATAGAGCTATGCACAACTGCAGGAATTTGACTCTATCAACCTACATGATGCTACAGTACAGCTGCACTAAGCTATAGACTTATTTGTAGTGATATGTATTTGTCAATGTATCTACCAGAAACTATATATCAGGGGGCTCTCAATGGCGCTACCAGTGCTATCATGTCTATGTACTGCTATATTACAAGTCCACTTTTTCCTGATGTTATATATTGCATGAAACTCCATGTTTATGTTTGTGCCAGTGGAGTAGCCCCACTTGGGCAGAAGGTGATGCACTGCCCTGAAGTGGAGCTCTTCAGTTCACGGAAAGTCTGCACCCTGATGCTTTTACAAACAGAAAAGTCATGAAAGCAGGCATAAACAGTGAGACAGTTACATAGTTTAGGTAGCTCATACCCACAAAAAGCCCTGGTCTACATACCATTGTCATGTAATGTGATTGTTAGATTATCACCAAATAATCATTGACATACACACAAGGTAAAGTTACAGGCTGACCATATTGAATGCTTATATTGAGGCACCCAGAGACTGATTAGTACCTAAGAAACTGTCAGCTACTGCAAGTACTGATATGCTAATTGGGATTTTTCCAACATTGAAACTACTCAAGTTTTGCAGCATCGCAGCAAGAGCAGAGAAAATGGGTGGGGAATATTGGCTGATTGGTGAAGAAAAATTCACCTTGTTGTTGCACCTGCATGCAACAATGAGGCTGCCACCAACACATTCAAATCACATATGTACAACAAGTCACCTTGCTTGTCAAGGTCTCCCAGGGTCATAAATACCCTAAACAGGTACAAACAAACTACCCAGTGGCCATGGGGGTCTTTTCTTGCATATTGTGAGGACTTTACACTCCCCCACATATTCCGGTTGGACTCCAGATGGACTCCAATGGACTCCAGATGGATTACTGTTGTTCATCCAGTATTTTTTCTAATTTTTTCTTTGGTGGCAACCCAGCCAAATGTTAGTCTAGAATCCACCTGGACTCCAGCTGGACTCCAGGTCCACCATCTGGACTGCATGGACTCCACCTCATAACACAGTCAACCAGCCAGACTCCATATGGAGTCCAGCAAGAGTTTACAATTTCTGTTTATTTATTATTGTGATTATTAGACAAGGAAAAAAGAATGCCATGACCAGGAATTGAACACTTGATCACTTAGGCAGCTTTTACCACTGCAATAAACCACTACACCATGAAGGCATTATTAGCTACACAATTTTCATACATCATATACCCTCGCTCCTGGCACGTTCTGAAAGCTGGCCAAACACGTTGGCTTTGTTGCCACGTCGTTGTCTTTTGTCCTCCCACCACCACCTGCCCACCATATCCAACCTCGGTCGACACACCCAACCACCCCACCTCGTTCAAACTGACCTCACGACAACGGCAACCCCACACAACAACACCACACCCCACCAATGCCAACAATGGCCCATGACCACCACCAACACTGACAACAGGATGGCAATGGCGACCCACCACCACCCACGACACGATGATGTGTCAACGACACGCGACAATGACGACACGCGACAATGACGACACATGAGGATGACGACACACAACAACAACAACAACACATGACGACGATGACAGGCAACGACAACAACATGCAACAACAACGACGATGACACGTGACAACACACGACAACAACCACACGCAACGACAACCACATGCAACAACCACACATGACAATGACCACACGTGACAAAGACCACGATGACACCACGTGACGACAACAACACGTGACAACGATGACACATGACAACGACGACATGCGACAATGACCACGACCACAACACGCGACAATGATGACATGTGACGATGACGAACAGCCGCCCTGGGACAACAACACAACGCCCACGCAGGACACGACGAGGGCCAAGCACCACCACTCCTTGCCCCCTTCATTACTCACCACCCCCTCCCATGCTGCTCACCACTCCCTCCCCCTTCCATTCCTCTTTCCCCCCTCCATTCCTCTCTCTCCCCCCTCCCTCCCTTCCACTCTCCCTCCATTCCACCCTCCCTTCTCCCTTTCCCTTCCCCTCCATTCCTCTGTCCCCCTCCATTCCTCTCCACCCCTCCCTCCATTCCTCTTTCCCTTCCCCCTTGCCCTCCCCCCTCCATTCCTCTCTCCCTTCTCCCTTTCCCTCCCCCCTCCCTTCCTGATCACCACTCCCTCCCTCCCACTCCTTCCCCCCTCTCTGTAACATAGAATGTATTAAAATTAACTTATTTATACTCCAATTTTCTTTCTATATAGTTATGTATACAGTTATCAATACAATATCTGTTCACCTATGAATTTTGTGTGGAATTTTGAGGTGGCAGAAGGTCTGACTTGTTAAAATTCCACAACATTCCTTGAGAGAGTCCAGACAGAGTCTATGCAGACTCCATCTGGACTCCAGCTTGATGATCCAAAAAATATACATTTGGTTCTATTTGAGGTAGACTCCACCTGGACTGAATGGAGTCCAGATGGAGTCCAGCGGAGTCCAGGTGGAGTCTGACCGGAGTGTGTGGGGGAGTGTAAAGTACACCATATTGTGCAGGTGAGTGGGCAAGCATGAACAAACAAACTTCCTACAGGCCATGGGGCTCATTTCTTGCATACTGTACTATTTCAACCAAGTGTTCACAATTTTTAGAAATTTTTCACACCAAGATGGCCAAAAAAATTTCTTTTGATTTAAGATGAATTTAAAAAAAATAGTTTTTTTGTTGATGTGAGGTGTGACGTGAACACTTGGTCAAAATAGTACAGTATTGTGCACACAAGCGAGCAAACTGGTGCAAACAGCTGGTCTTTTCAAAACATGATATTGTTGTCTCTTTCTTAGTGCCAGCTTCAATGTTTATATACAACTTTCCAGTCAACTATGTAGCACTATAGCTCTTGAACACTGTTTCCTTTGTTACAGAAAAAAAAAGTCGCATCATATTAGTGCAAAGCAGCATATTTGTCAGCAAGCAAGGTGCCTGCTGCCGCTGCTAAGTGTCAGCCTCTAGTTAAGAAGATATCAGGGGGCTCCCATCGGTGCATCCTGTGAATGCAACTACCTCTGACATGTACCAATTCCCACATCAGGGTCTTCACACTATATCGGTAACAATGATTAATAATAGATCCAAATCCATGTGAGTGCTTAGATCAAATTAGTACATACATCCTGCCCTCATTCTCTGCCCCTTCCACATTGTGTCTTCTTTGTTGGAGATGGCTGTTGAGTGCTTGAAATTTGAGAGACACTTGAGGCTGCTCTTTTTCTTGATGCCTCCATTACATCTTGGAGCCCTTTTATCTCCCTTTTGACATCCTTTTTGCATTCATTAGAGTCTCGATGCCTGACAAATGAACCAGTCCCAAGTGTCAAGGTCAATGGCAGATAGTAGCAGCAGAGATCACAGTTTATAAGCCCAAATTTAGCAATCGAGTTTCTATCATCAAAGACAGGCTTTTGTTCTATATGACCATCATTGTGAAAGAATTCCACATAGCAAGGACCTGCACTGAGTACTGGATCATAGTTAGGATGCTTTCAAACCATGGCAGAAGCACAAGCAAGCAGTGGGGGAGAAAGGAAGAACATCTATCATATCTATCTGAGTGTATGTACGGATTTGGGTGTGTGATCAATCATTTTTCCTGATATAGTGTGAAGACCCTGATGTGGGAATTGGTACATGTCAGCAAGAGGCCTCAGATCCACCAATCCAGTACATTGAGTCCCACAGGTGGGGGGGGGGAGGTACAGCCACCACTGGCTACCTGGCTAGAAGCTTCTCCGAAGCGTGTCCTCCTTTGCCTTCCACATAACTTACATTCTGAGGTCTCTGCTGGTGTACCAAACTCTTGTATAATAACTTGATATAGCACAGTATGATACCCTTTGCCAGTTCCAGCTGAAAAAGAAGAGAAAACAGGCCCAATCTTCTCCAACCATACCAGGCATCTCCCAACATATACTTTATGGCCTCAAGCATTGCTACATGAATAAAGATATGTAATTCAATTGAGTTACAGTGCTTTTCACATCTATGTGGAATCGTGTTTGCGAAAATTCTGCAGCTTTGGTTATGTTGACGCATGATGTCACGATGCCGGCACTTCGGCAACGCTGCTCGCCTTTGACGTTCAACTTGCCCATTAGAGCATCACCTTGATGTTCCCCTCATTAGAGCCAATTTGTATAGTACCACACTCAACGCAATCAGTTCAGTTTTGACACATCCAGCAGCAAATCCATCGACACTGGCCTCAAAAAATTGTCAAAGAAATTCGATTTGTCTTTCCAGTTTGGAACGGCACCCCATGATTTCACGATCAGCCAGTATGTCTCTTTTCATTGAGCACGCCGAAGGACGGTTTGCTAACAAGATATTGGCAGATCAACTCCTTGCTTTCATTGTTCATTGAGAATGTGTGTCGTTAGTGCCTTGGCGTGTCTGCCCATTTGACCTTTTCCTACTAACCAGGCCATCCCAATCGCACTGGCCATCAACAACACCCGCACCTCCATCCCCAACATCATGATCACCAACTCTGGTTCCCAAAGCTTCGACATCTACGCTGGCCCCTTCACCAAGAACGACCAACTCACAGTGTCGCCCTTTGCCGATGTGTTCTTGTACACCACCGACATACCTGCATCCATCGCTAAGCAGGTTCTCCCGACTTTAAATAAAGCTGGTTCGAACCAGCGACACGAGTTGGAGGAGAGGGAGCAGGAGATGTCGTCTTGACTATTTATGTACTTACAATGGAACATCCAAGTGAAGGCTTTCAAATGAGTGGGTATAACAACACCAAAGGTTATAATTGGGGGGGTGCATGTAAGTTTAGCTTGTTGACGAACTTGCGCAATGTGTTGCCGAAGCACCGGCATCGTGACGTCATGCGTCAACATAACCAAAGCTGCAGAATTTTCATAAACGCGATTCCGCATAGATATGAAAAGTGCTGTAATACTTTTATTTGTCTTGAGAAACCTCTAGCCTCAAGTCCAGTTACACTTCACCAAGACCAGTCTGAGCCCAATGCCAGTCACATTGCCAAAGCACAACAGATACATTTATTCCTCCCATTCAATAACAAGCATGTTCTATTGAATTAAATCATATTCCGCTACTAGATGTAATAAAGTAGTGGTTGAGCATGGGACTGAGGTTGGTGTCGACCAAGCATTGACTTGCATTTCCGAAGCTCGGAAATAGCCACTGTCAGTGGCATGTGACAGATCAGATGTCTAGCATCAGTGGATCTGAGTCCTCTTGCATGTCGGAGGTACAGTTGCGGACAGCCAAAGTCAACTAAATTTTTGATCATGATATGAGGACCCTGCAAAACCTTCAATAGTACTTTTTATTGCAGAAACATGAAGATTATGACTCAATGCTTTGATTTCCACAAGCCGATTTTTCAAAATCAATGAAATGAGAAATTTTACCCCCAAAATATTGGCCAGCCCTCAAATGGACGCCTAAAATCATGAAAAATAGTGCAATTGACTCCTTTTTTAATTCTGCATCTGATCCCGGACTTTCGGGAAATTCTGATGAGCCGTTTTTGTAGAAAAAAATGATTTTAAACTACTTAAAATGGCAACTCAGGTCTTCCCACCCCCATGGACCCTCAATGAACCCTGTCTCTTGGGCCCCCCTCCTCTCCCCACCTCTAGCAGATTGTATATTATTGATTTCCAATCAGAATTACAATGTTTGGCAAGTGCCACCAATTTTTTTGGTCACCTCTGGCATTGGAAGCCTGCCAAGGGGGTCTGAAGAGCCACTGAAGAGCCCTACCGAATGACAAAAATAGTCCAAAATTTTTGCCAACCCAATTTCTCGTGGGAAAAACTTCGAAAAGGTGTTTTTGGACGTATTTTTACATCCTGAGTTCAAATCTGAAGTCAGAATGTCAAAATATTTATTCCTTCCTGAGATATCAATTTAGTTGACTTTGGCTGTCCGCGACTGTAGTTGTGTTCACATGCGCCGATGGGAGCCCCCTGGAAGATATCTATTTAAGTTTCTCCTGTGTGGTCCCCCACAGTGGTACTAACGAGGCAGCACTCTGGTTAACTGCATGAAAGACTAATGGGCCCAACAATGGGATCTGCGCAATTGGGCAAAGTGGGCCGATCCATCCTCTATGGGGCTCTGTTCGTGCGGCCCACCCATGTCGCATGGCCTATTTTAGAGTCTCGGCCCAGTCATGCCAAGGCCGAATTCTTGACAGCTCGGCCGAGTCCGCTGGCCCGCTGTTCAAGTCGATGGGCGCCTGTCACACGCCGCTGGCCCATCAGTGATGGACCATTTGACCGCCCTAACTGCGCCGTTACTTATACTTGATTTTACCACCTAAGCTTTGCAGGCTTGTCGCCGCCGCCACTGTCATGAAAAGACACAGAAGATAAGAAGACGTAATAAATCTCTCAGATAATCCTGGCCAAAAGCCCTAGTACATAGGGCAATAGATAGTGTTGGTATAGCAGACATACTCGAAACAGGATTGCTGGGCGTCGGTGATTTACATATAAATAATCTAGTGAGGTTACAAATCTATAGGTTGGAGGCCAAGAAAAATGTTGAGTTGCAACTGGCAGACGCAGAAAAAAAAGGATCCACTGATTACATTCAAATTGCGGTACCGAGAACCGATTCGTCGAGTTTGATAGCCTCGTAGACGTGGAACGTGCGGACATGTGTCATCTCCTCACGAGAGTATGGAGGAGACCCATTACTCGAGTGACGTGGGGTTGGAGTCCTCGAATTGTCAGGATGAGAGGAATTGATGTTCGTCCCTGGATTCATAAGAGGCAAGGTGCCACTAGAACTCGAGGGGATGGAGGTATGGAATGTTGGTGTACCCTGTAACCTCGCCATACGGGGAGAGTCGGGGCGGAGGTCGCCTGGCCAAGCGAATCGCTGTCGAAGCTCTCTGCAACGAAAGGGTGGTGAGGTATGAATCGGATGAAAGGAGAGGGGGCTTACGATTGGTACTCCCACATGGCATCTTGGTACTCAGATGATACGGAGAAGACGGAACCGCGTTGGCTGGCGGAATCAGATGCTGGAGATTCGTCGCGTCCGCCCACCCCAAACTCAAGCGGAGGGGGGTTGAACCGTTGACGGAGGAAGCTAGAAAACAAAAGCTCGTTCAGAATCAGGCTAGCTAGAAGCAAAAAGAGTAAAGCGCACCCCTCGTATTCATAAAGCGCCTCCAGTACAGACTCCTCGTCAATCTCCTCGTCGTCAGTGGCCTCTATAGCATGTTCGACTAAAAGATTCTTGCAAGATAGCAACATGCGCAGGTGCTTGCTAGCATGAATCTCAAGCTCCGATTGTTGCATGGGGATGAAAGTCGATGGCCACAACATCAATCCAGGAGACTGAGAGAGCACCTCCAACTTGGACGTGCTGCGATGAGCCTCACCGCTTCGTCCTCGAACCCCAACGTCGTCTGCAGCTGAGTCCGGTGAAGCAAGAGTGAGGTGCATTGTGCTTATTTGTTCAGCGTATCCAAAGACCTCCTTCATCAAGTCCAGTACGAATTCTTCGGGATAGATGCTGATACCGAACTTATGCGTGAGCATATGTTCAAATAGAGATTCCAAATCAAGTGTGATGGCAGCATGATGGGCCCAAGAATCCCTATTCCGACCTAGCTGTGCTGTCCTTGCTTGCCTGCGTGGCACGGGTGTCGCTCGAGGACTTGGAGAATCTCTGTCAGCTGCTGGCATCTCATCGCGACCATTGAGAGTGGCAGCATCGTCAGTATCAGATTCTTCGTCTACCTGGTCGAGGCCGTAATAAGCATCGTCATCATCCACCTCTCCTTCTGCGAAGCCAAGACCGGGATTGGAGCTATTGGAGTCATAGATGCTGAATGTCGAAAATACCGACGACGGGATGCTGACACTCAACTGGGGGGCGTCGGCGTCCAGACGACGAGTTGGCGGAATGGGGAGTATATTGTCGGGCGATGGAGATGCCTTGCCATATGGAAAGAAGATACTATCGTCGATCAACTCCAAACGGCCGCCCGGACTCAAGACGCGACACACTTCCTGAAACACGAACACCCAGGCGTCCGAGGTAATGCACAGGGTCAGGCAAGACATTCGCACCAGGTCGAAAGTGTTGTCGCTAAACGGGAGTCGCTGCTTCAAGCTACGAGAAAAATATATATGAGAACGATAGCGATAGAACAAGACAGCGAGGAATATGTACAAGTTGCCTCGAACAAATTTGATGTTATTCTTGACGCCGTGTTTAACCGCCCATGGAAGAAGCCCTTTGGAAATGTCGACCATATCGTAACCCGTGACCTTGGTTCCATAACCCTTCCAAGCAATAGCGGCATCCACAACCCAGTGTCTGATCGGAGATGGTAAGTAAGACCGTCGAAATATCCGTGATGAATTTACCCTTGTCCACAGCCCAAATCGAGAACGGCAAGAGGAGGAGTGTTTCCATAGTTATGGAAGCTCGGAGAGCCGGTCGGGTTGAGGCGATACAGAAGCTCCCCTGTCTGGCGATCACTATGTTTTGCTTAGTTGAGACCACGGCCACTTTAGAACTGGCGACTTACTTGTCCAAAAGAACTGAATCATACGGGTCCAAGGGGTAATTTCCAATCCTAGATTTGATCCTTCGATCCCTTTCCGCTTTTTGTTCAAGGTCTGAAGCGTGATTTTGAACTACGATGTATTCCTCCTGTCGGGAGTCTTGAGATCGAGTTCCTAGTGCTGACATATCTTCTGTAATGGTTGGACCTTCAGAAGGAGAATACGCGGACACGGATAAGGGTTCGAATGCAAGAGGGGAAGTGGGTGTCACGGGCTTAGACTTCTTCTTGAAGGGTATACCCATGAACCGCGAACGATGATCAGCTTCATCAAATTGTTTCTTCGTTTGAGTCTTGAACTTGAACTTGGCAGCAGGGCGCACGCCTGGATGGGCTCGCGTGCGAGCACTTGGATAGAAAAATGGAGCTGGAGATTCAGGAACTATTGCGGACGAAAGTTGTCCTCGAACGTTGTCACTTTGAGAAAAAGAGTCCGAAGAACCCGTGCGAGAAGAATTGATGGATTGAGACGACGACGAGCTCATGGAAACCCTTTGGGTTCTTGGAGGATAATTATTGGTGGGTGATTGAGACGACGTAGGACTAATCGGAGACAAAGTCTGTCCAAAAGAGTCCCTCCGTAAATGCCTAATATTGACTTTTTGCCCGTTTAACTTGGGTGTGGATTTCGGACGGGCAAGGGAGCGGGAAACAGGAAAAATGAAGGTCGGAGAGGATGTCTTAGATGCCTTGGGAGATTCCACGATCGGCGACTTCGAAAAATCCCCAGAACGCGTAGATATGGCCGAGTCTGAGGCATTAGCACGCCTAGATTGGCCGAACGTGTGAAGTGAGGGTGCGCCACTAGAATTTGAAAGCGGTGGATAAGAGTTTCCGTCATCCTGTGGTGTGACAAGCGAAGGCAAGGAAGGTGACTCAAGTCGAGAACGGGACGGCGAGTAACAAGGGTTTGAACTTGGAGGAGAAGGAAATAGTAAGGAGGGATCTGAGCCCCACCTAGTTGCGGGGGAGCCATTGTCGGAGCGCATGTTCGCTGAGTAAAGGTTGGTCGCGTCGATTTGAAGAGTTGGTCGCACTAACGGCATATTCGGAGAAATAGGGGCATAGGCTGGTAATTCTGTGAGAGGCGGAGATGCATGAAGCAAAAGAGACTGCGAAATAGCCGAGTTTTCCGGAGATTCGAGATGAACTTCTGAGAGGGTTGGTGAATTATCAGAATAGATTGGAACAGGGCCAGCGGGTTGAATTCGAAGTGGACGTGAATGCGCACGAGCAGTTGACACGCGAGAGTTTTTTGATGGAGGTGGAGGCTGGTATGTCGCTTCCAAGAGTCCGAAATCATTCGAAGGAGGAAAGGGAAACTGGGATGAAATGGCCTTCTCCGATAATCCGTTTCCCGGTGAAGTGGCGGGTCGCCGATACCGCACGTCATGGCGCGGTGACGCGAGCGGGGCTGGTGAATCTCCTCTTTTGTGGGGGGCGCTGAACTCCCTCAAAGGGTAGTCACGTGTATTTTCAGAAGGATCATTTTGAGGGTATGGCCAAGAGGTGGACCCTGCTGAAGTCGGAGATGCCGTAACTTCCTGAAGCTTAGACGGTGAACTGGGGACTGTACGCTTGGCTCGGGAGAAAAGTCCCTTAGCTGGCGTTTTATGAGAGGTCGGAAGCGGATCTTGAAGGGGCTGCAATCGCTTCCGCCCCGCTGCTGCTCGAGACGACATGTTGAAAAGAACGGCACGAAAGTGCTTAAATTACCAGAGAACACGGAGGTATGATGATCTGCCTAGTGGCGTCGCAATCGTGACCTGAGGAGGCAGGAAGGCGAAAAGGCAAGGAAGGGGTCAAGGCGGTTTTGAAAGCCTTAACTTCAGAGCTTCAACGTGTTGGCGCGTTCCACTAATCTGCAAAGAGGTTATAACAAACCCACGAGGATTGCTGATAGGGTAGATACCGCGAAAGTAGTATGTTTCTCCCCGGTGCCCGCAAGCCGATGTTAAGTACAAGTTGCACAGAGGCTTTCCCAGGATTAAGGTTTCCCGCTGAGAAACCTTTGACGTCAAGACTGGGTTGGCTCATGCTTGACAAGAACACCTTCAGTCACCGCAAGATCAGGGTCAAATGTAATTGAACTGACCATTTTTGTCTTAACTCCGGAAGCCGCAGCGCCTTCAAGATATCATTGGTCTGGAAATGGGGGAGGCTTCAACACCCCATCACATGAACAACACCTGTCGGTTTCTTATCCGCCAATCGGGGATCTGAGAGACTGAGGGACCTGATCAGTGAACACCAAACTTTTTTCACTTGTTGATGAGATTGTTGGTAGAAGGATAAACAACCCACCTGCTGGTGCCAGCCTCAAAGTTTCAAGATATGGTTTCATTGAGACGTGGATTTGATCCCTTAAGGCTTAGGACATGACTCCGCTGGCATACTGGGAGAACACTTTGAAATGTCGGCCCTCGCTTCGGGACGCATTAATCTGGACCAATCTAGAAAGCGAAAAGATAAGCTGGCGCTAGGGGAGAGTGTGAGGTCAGGAACACGTTGAACACGTGATTAGATTTGTATCTCAAAACAGATACAAAGTGAAACTAGCGCCAGAAAAGGACTCATCACATTCTCGACCTCAACCCAAGGGGTGCTATGTACCAGTATCTGTGTTGGCATAGATCAAACGCATCTGAATTAAACGCGTTGGTGCTTCCACCATCAAGCATTCTGTAACAGCCAGGACAGGATTCAACTCAATTCGTCAACCCGTGCGTTTCAAGATTCTCCATGCTCGTAAATGTAATTAACGAGAAACTTACCTTTCACCCCGTACTCCCCTGTTGCACATCAGTCCGAATCCTAAGGTCCTGGATCCACGACTGATACTGAGGGAAATGCTGAATATGATACGAATGATGGAAGAAAGAATTTATGATCTGGCGTCTGTAGGTCCATTGAGAATGCATCATTTGTTTTTCTATCAAGTTTCAACACAGGCGTATCTGGAGACTGGATGATGGAAAGGCCATGGTAGTAGAATTCAAATTACCTCGGCCCTACCAATCACGGTAATTATCAAAGCGATAACCCGCCTCAGCAGTCGTCGCAAATGAATTGATGCCATTCTTCCACCTCCACGGATGCCGGGATAATACTTCTGATGCTCCGAACATCAGGAAACCATCGTTAATCAGGCCGACGCATCACGGAACGAGCAACTACCTTAAATTGCCTCCAAAATCTCACTCGAACGAGAAACTTGTTGGAGCCTGAATCACGATCACGGTCACCAGTCCACGCTCAACTTTTTTGGCGCTACTACCAGCATAAAACGTACATGCAACTTGATGTATCATGTTGGCATCAGTTGATCCAGTCAATCCGAGTAAGTATCACAACAGTTGAACATGATTCCCTCCCCACATATACTTACAAGTTGCTCTTGATGGAAGGTTGTCGACGTCGGACGTGCTAAAGCAATCTGACTCTCTATCAAATGGGGCATCCATCCTGGCCCTTTTTTTGGCTTATCTCAGCTTATCTCCCATGCCTTTATCATCCCACGATTTGACAACTAAGTAATGATCCCACACCTTCCCACACCGCTCCCCATGGAACAACTGGACAGGAACTTGGCCCCATTCTACACAAGTAAATATAAACTAGGTTCAGGTCAAAAACCCAACTGAATCCATAGATAAGACGGACCAATGCTGACTACGGCATATCGTAGGTTTTTTTTAGATTCTAGCGCTGAACATTATGACATGCGTGGTTTCGAAGCTTATCTTCATGCGAACAGCTTCTCCTATGTATATAAGTGAACCAAGGTTTCTTACGAGATAAGCTTCTCCCACCTCCTCTTTTCTCCCGCCAACAATGGTGAACGTCACTTACGACGCATGTGAGTTTCCCCCCCACCGTGACTGAACATATCCGACTAACGAACATCAACTTCATTAGCTGCGTCTTTAATCGTTACTGATAATGCCACTCCCAACCTTTACAACCCCGGAGACATCGCTTGGGTGCTGGCATCGACCGCGCTCGTTTGGATCATGATTCCCGGTGTTGGCTACTTCTATGCTGGGCTCTTGAGGTATGCGCCTTGGACACGGGCAACTAAAATGATAATGATTGTTTCCAGGCGAAAGAACGCGCTCTCCATGATCTACCTTAGCATGGTGACATTAGCTGTCGTCTCTTTCCAAGTGAACACATCTACTTGACCTTCCACCAACTGCGCTAATTACAATCTATAATAGTGGTTCTTCTGGGGATTTTCTTTGACATTCAGCGGTACGGCAAGCAGGTTCATCGGCGATCTTAGTGAGTATTCCATGTTGGACCTTTTTGTTCTGGAGGTTAATGCGGTTTCGACGAAAAAGAATACTTCGGTTTGAAAGGTGTGCTAGGCGAACCATCAATCGGTAGCACGCGTATACCCTCTATTGTCTTCTGCGTGTACCAGCTCATGTTCGCAGCCATCACGTAAGTACAAAAGTATATTCATACGGGATCCTACTTATGACTGTCGCAGGCCTATGATCGCGGTGGGCGGTTTCGCTGAAAGGGGCGCTCTTGGACCTATCATGGTATTCGTCTTCATCTGGTCTACCATTGTCTACGACCCGATTGCTTGCTGGACGTGGAACTCCAACGGCTGGGTGTTTGTTCTGGGTGGTCTCGATTTCGCAGGGGGAACACCTGTACACATTTCTTCCGGAACCGCCGCCCTCGCAATCTCTGTTTACCTCGGAAAACGTCGTGGATACGGTACTGAGGCACTTGCGTACAAACCTCACAATACCTCCTATGTCGTTATTGGCACTATCTTTCTCTGGTTCGGTTGGTTCGGTGAGCTATTTTCGGTATTGATGTTTAGTTATTTGGGCTGAATAATTGTCCGATGCTAGGCTTCAACGGCGGTTCAGCACTTGCCGCTAACCTGAGAGCTGCACAGGCTTGCATAGTCACCAACCTCGCCGCCAGCGTCGGAGGTCTCACCTGGATGCTCTGGGTCGGTGATCAAGTCTTTGGCAAATCTCTTCTCGTCTGAATTTCATAAAATTAAATAGGACTATCGTGTTGAAAGGAAGTGGTCTGCCGTTGGCTTTTGTTCCGGCGCCATTGCTGGCCTCGTAGCTATCACTCCTGGATCTGGGTTTGTGGGCTCGCGTAAGTGTCTTCAAGTTGCCATTTCATCCCCCTCACAGTTATAAATAGCCGCTGCGGTCCTATTCGGTGTCGCGGCCGGCACTGTATGCAATTTCGCCACTCAACTAAAATTCCTCGTTGGATACGATGATTCACTAGATGTTGGTATCATGTCATTTCATTCTGTAATTTGCTGATCACTTGCACAGGTTTTCGCCTCTCATGCTATTGGTGGTGTCGTCGGCAACATTCTGACTGCACTCTTCGCACAACGTAGCGTGGCTGGATTTGATGGCATTACCGTAATTCCGGGCGGTTGGCTTGACCGTCATTGGGTACAATTGGCCATCCATCTCGCCGACTCATCTACAGGCATCGCCTACTCGTTCGTCGTCACCGTAAGCTTTCCCTTGTCAAACTTTGGAGTGATCCTAACACGGTTTAGACCATCATACTCTGGGTCATGCACTATATCCCAGGCCTGCGGGTGACGGTGTCTGAGGAGACCGAGATTGTTGGCATCGACGAGTGCGAGATGGGAGAATTCGCGTACGACTATGTCGGTCTCGAGACCGAGCTCAAGCCCTCCTTCTCCCGTCCAGTTGCTGATACCAGGGAGCCTGATCATGGTAGCTACAGCAAAGAGAACGTTTGATTTCAAATCGTCTCTTTAGCACGTGCATTGCCATTTCTCCGAATGCCTGATGACAGCCTATCTAAATAGGCTAACAAGCACAGTAGTATTCTCTTGTGTATTGTGAGGATTTTTCGTAGCTTCAATTTGGCCCTATGAATCATATCTTTGCAGCCGTTACTTTCAAAATTTTGATACTGCACATATAGATGTAGATTCTATGTTGTTCATATTCTAAAACACACACTCCTTTGCGGTTACACAGTTTTGACTTGGAATTTCCACCTAAATTTGTGCCTAAGTATGTCAATAATTTGTCCTGCCGCGATAAGCAATCCAATTTATAATTAGATCCTCTACAGATACCAAACTGTATGCAGCTGTCAGGAACACTCGCTATCAGGTGCTGTCTGGTGAGGTCTGGTGCTGTCCATTTATGCACGTCTGGGTCCCCCGCTTTGATAGGCATACGCACACAGGTACACACTAAGTATTGGAATGTCCTCAAAGTTCCCTCGCCGTACGGCGCGAAGGAAAACGTCCGCCTCAAAGATATCATTGGCTACTGGTATCTACTGGCAGTCAGGCACTCGAACTAGATCTCACTGGGCAAAACTTTCTTCGTTCAAGTTTTCTTATCAGCTCGCTGGGATGCCAGTGGAGCATGTCTGAATGTAGTGTTGCATGACTAGGAATTTGTGATTACCAGTGAGTGCACCGCGTTCAATGAGAAGATTAAGAAGTTCCCTTGATTTTTGAACTCTATTAAGTGAGAGGTATTGCCAAAAAAAAAAGAATATTTCGTTTTGATTTCGTTCGAGATAATGCGAGCCTGAGATGTATACCACAAGTGATCTCAAGATTTGAACAGCGCAGCAGAGAACCGTGATCAATGCAGGGAATTTCGCAGTCTTACGGATGTCTGCTGCTTACACAATACAGTTTATCGATAAATGAGCCAGAAATTCATTCTGCTCACCATTACGAAGGAGGTCATTCTGTCCAACGGAATTGGATCAAGAAAACGTTACGAGAGAAGTGTTTGCATTGCTCATGTTTGCCATCGTCATCGCGGGATTCGCCGATGATACCTCGTCAAGTTTGGCTTTTACAACCAGTCTCTCGACATGAATGACACCGAAACACAAGAAATACCCAGACCTGACATTTCAGCTACGCTCAGAAGACCGAACCCAGTCTTTGAAGGTCAAAACGGTTTTGAAAGCGATTTTCATGACGAAGAGATCGATGATGCACACCTACACGAAGCTCTCGAGCGACACCGCCTTGCTCAGTACATTCTAACGCAGAAGGATCGCCCTATTCCTACGTAGGTGCTGTATCTCCCAAATTTTGCTGGAGGTACCTGGCTGTACGAATAACCCAGCATCGAAGAAATGAAGGCGTATTTGGAGAAACCAGAAAATTCTGCATCAGTCAAGGAAGAGATTCAAGCTTTGAAGGAAGAACATCTTGAGGATCTAGATCGTCTCTACGCTGCCCACGCCGGAGAATATACACAAGAAGTTCTGGACTTATATTACTCTAAAGACGACGTGCTCCCTGCTTCGGATCTAGCCTCTCAAGATCCTGACAATATAGAAATATACGAAAAATTAGATGTAAGCTGCTTTATATTGTCACTTCTGTTTCCGACCACCTTGATCGTTTACCGGAGATTTGATGAGCTCTAACCACCTTTCACAGGAATATTATGAGGAATTTCGTCAAAACCATCTCTTTCAATCACTTTGGGACACAGATTACTCCGTAATGCGACACACATATCTTTCTCGTCTCTTGCCCCTCGAAAGAAAGCGCCGCGAACTTGAAAAAGAGGAAGAAGAAGCCAAGAGACGCAGGGATGCCATGTTCCCTATGTCCGCAGCCGACTTCACAACAAAGCCAGGAGATGTGCAATTGAGAGCAGCAAGGTTTTTGACTGCAGATGCAGCGAAGCAGGAAAAGATGCTAGCTGAGTTTGGCTGGGCTTGGAGGCAGGTAGATCCGTTGAAAGCTGAATTTGCTTCGAATGTAGGTAGCCATCTTGTATCGTTCGGCGTCTCAGCTGACCAGAAGGATTTTGATATAGGATAATTTTGCAGCCGAAATTCGAGCGATGATTATTAGTGAACAAGAGGTGCGAGATCCGAGAAGAAAGTAGTCAGTTTGTTCTACCGTGCTTTATGGTTTTTACTATCGGAAAACTGTGGCTGTGCCCTGTAATCAATCCTTGTTCGTTGAAAAATGGCGTCCACTAAGCAATTCATGAACTTCTACGACCTCTTATCAGTGCCAGCAGGTGCAACCTTGACCGAGATAAAGTCAGCTTACCGTCGAACTTTACTCAACTTCCATCCAGACAAGCAGAAGGGTTCTCTGTCATCCGAGTCGACACCCGACATCGATATCGCTGTGATTAAAGACGCATATCTCACGCTCTCAACACCCCACTTGCGAAAACAATACGATTCAAAATTTAAGATCCACACTGTTCTAGTAGGACCTAGGCCAGCGCAAGTTGTCTCTCTGGATGAGTTTGAGGAAGAAGCTGAGGGGGGTTCGTGGCGTTACCCGTGTCGTTGTGGTGGAGTTTACCGGGTGACGATGTCGTTAATGGAAAGCGGAGAGCATCTTATTGGGTGCGGTAGTTGTTCAGAGGTGGTTTGGGCTGGGTACGAGCTTCAGGACGACGACGGATGAGGGCGAAAGGCATTGGTGTTCAACGTCAACGTTTGTCCCGTTGAAATTTGAATGATTGACGAATTCATCCTGGACCTGGGACCAGGTTATTTTACCTCCCAGCAACACAAGCATGTTTAGGAAGTTGAGGAAGCCGAACCTCTACTCTTGAGCTTGACTTCTATGGGCCAGACCCGACTCGCACCCACCGCAATACAAACAAAATGCAAATATGGATGCAAGAGTAGATACAGGCTATGCGTAGTACGGAGGTATAAGATAGGGGTATGGTGTGATATGCTAAAAAGAAGACGGATATATAATACAAAGCCCTCCAGATCCAGAGTACCCAAAATTTACTTTTTGACTGCCCGAAGCTGCGCACGAAGATTCCCATTCTCCGTCTGCATCGAGTTGAGTTCATCGAGCAACGCGATGCGCTGCGACTGCTCCGACGACCTCATTGCATCCACTTCGTCTTGCGCAAGCTCCAGAGCTTTGCGACACTCGGACAGTTGAGCCTCCAGCTGTTTTCTGACCATCTCTGGCGCAGATGCTGCTTCTTCCGCAAGTGTGAGGGTGCGTGCGCTGAGGGTATTATTGGCTGCGGTGAGTTGGCGGCATTCCTCTGCTTGTTCCGCAGCAAGCATTTCAACGTCGCGTTTTTCGGCTGCAATGCGTTCAATTGTGTCGTGCAGTATTTGCAACTCCTCCTGCCTATGAATTTCATGAGTTTAGGAAATAACAAAGAAACATCGTTTTCTTACATTGCAGCCTGTCGAGCCGCCATAGACATATTACGTTCCTCCAGAATTCTGACTTGTTTCTGGTAAGTCTCCAAAGCAGTGTTCCCGTCTTGAGCCAACTTCTGCGCTCGTTCAGCGTTCTTTTTGAGGAGGTCGTGGGCTTGGGCGAAACGGATCAGGCGTTCGATTAATGCACGATCATCCGCAATTAGAGCCAGTACCCGCGCAACAAATGCCTCCACCGTAAACGTGCCACCCCCAACTTTGGGTGATCCAGGCGTTTGACGACTATCGTACAACGATTTGAGCGACCGAACATCGAGGTCCGACAAGGAAGTAATGACCCCATTCCCATTCGTACCTCCTGGTGTGCCAGGTGTTGGGGAGCCAGTTCGATATGATCTCTGGCCATTGCCGCTGAACTTGGCCGCGCGGGCTTCTGGAGAGGGAAGGATCTGCCAAACTGGCAAAATGGCAGCGATGACCATCCCGACATCAGTGTCTCCCGCTGAATCTGACGGGAAAGCCGACGCTGGTGTTGGAGGTGATCGCAACATTGCCAAGTCAGCCTAATCGGTAGTTGTGAGTGTTTCGTCAATCCATCCGACAGAATAACACGTACCTTGACCCTGCTTTCGAGCGATGCAGTTTCCCTCTTCGCAGAGTCTCTTTCCCGACGAGCATCCTCAACCTCACGGGCCAAAAGTTCTCGCTTGTCAAACCCACTCCGAATGTCGTCCTCCAGTCTCCTGCGACTCAGCTCCCATTCAGCTTCAACTCTTGAATGTGCCTCTAACTTCTTATGAATACCCTCCAAGTGTGTCCCGATAGATTCCAAAAGACCTTGCAATGATGGGTCCCGAGAGAACAGCACAATCCCATGATAAGCCACCATCGACCGCAGTGCTTCCCGACTCGCCTCGAGCTCCTCATTTGCCTGGTGTAAGATATCCTCGTCATCCTCTCTCAGATGATCCATTTCACTGTGCATTTTTTTCAAATCCTCCTCTTTCTCCTTTTCCAACCGCGTCCTCTCTTGATCCCAAGCCTTCCGTTCAGCTTCCCAAATCGCACGCAATTCTTGAATTTCTGCATCCTTCTCTTCAAGTTGCTGCCGATTACTTTTCCTGATTTCCTCCAACATTTTCTCGGCACCCGGCGCTAGCCTTTCCCCTGTTTCTAGCTCCTGCAGTTGGGCGCGTTCCTCCTCCCACACCCTCTTCTCCTCTAGCAATTGCTGTACCTCGAAGTCAAGCCCCTCCAGCCGGGGAAGTTCTTTCTCAAGTGCTGATATGGTATCCTCCGCATTCTGCAGCTCCAGCCCCATCATGGTCTCCACTTCCTGTTTCTCGAGCTGTAGAAGTGACAACTCACGCGCCATTTCCGCCTGCTTCTTGCCCGCTGCAGTTAACGACTCCGTGACAGCCTTCAGCTTCTCCTCCAATGATGATATTTCCGTAGCAGCAGCTTCTGGCGATAACTTTCGCCGGGGTATAACTGCGTCCGCGTGCCCTGCGAACAAATGCGCGCCATCAAAGCGCGCCTGCGATGAGGTAGAAACTCCAGTCATAGATGAAGTGGTAGGGCTCATGAGAGTGCTCCGATTTGACGAATCGTAACCAGAATCCTCGCTCGTATGACTTGGAAACATCTTCTTCTCCATGTTGCGCACCGAAAAGCTGAGGACTCCGGCTCGATGCTCCAGCAGCTTTTTATTGATCTCGTTCGCACGATCAGACACACGCCAGTACTCCTTCTGAGCAGATTCAACCCTGCGGTTCGCAGCGTCTAGTTGTTCCTCCGTCTGTTTAGAGACTTTCTTGTGTGACGCGTTGACCTTGGAGAGGGATAAGGCTGCGTCCCGAATTTTTGTCTCTAAACTGAGCTTTTTCCCCATAGCTCCTAGCCTTGAAGTAAGAACTTGTTGTTCCTTTTGCAAAGTCAACGAATGTTAGACTCGATAGAGTTCGGATACAAACCTTCTTCAGCTCGTCGACCTCCTCCGCAGTCAGGATCTCGAAATCTCGACTGTCTACAACTGCTTCACTCGCCATGAGACTCATCAGAAGTTCGTCGCGAGTGTTTAAAGGGGCAGAAGTCCGTTTCCATTCTGTTTCCGACTTTCGCACTGATTTTCGGGAATGCAAGCGGCTAGACGGCGACGATGAGGCCACGGACGAGGGGGAGTTGGGTATAGTTTGAGTGCGCGTAGGGGATTGTTGGCTGCGTGGGGAGTAAATTCCAGAAGGTCTTGCTGACGACCGTGTAGATTGGAATGATGTGCTTCCAGTGTTGTCTTCGTCCGCGATTGATGTTGGAGGCGGAGGTCGTCTATCTTTCTTTAAAAACAGGGCGGCTGTGGGTTTCGTAGCGTCTACGGGTAACGCCTGTTGCGCCAGCGATGGCGATGCAGGAGGCCGTGTTGGACCAGACTTTGCGAAGCTTAGAGGTGCGACTTGAGCAAGCTGTGGTAGTTCTTGAGGAGGAGGTGATGATGAGGCCGTTGTGGCCCCAAGAAGCCTACGAACGCCGTTCATACGGTCCTGGAATCGCTGTCGTCGTCGTTGTCGTCGTAGACGGGAGACTTTTGAGGAGATGACGCGCCTGTCTGTTGCCTTGAGGAGATCGTATGTAAACAGGACCTAACCCTAATCCATGGCCAAAACCAGACTGCCGAGAACCCGCGTCTCTCAACGCGCGACCTCCAAGCGGAATGCTCAACATTTCTTGCTTTTCCCCTTCATAGCGACTCCCAGACTTCTGGACGACCCTCCTACGACTTTGGACTGCGCCGGATGTCGTTCACATTCAACTGGCCCCGTTTTTCTGACCAGTTTCATTACGATGCAATGCAGATGCTCAACACCGCTCTTAACAAGGGCAACAAGCCGCCGATCATAGCGGACAAAATTGAGGTCGTAGAGTTGGAGATGGGAACTCAGGTCAGCAGCACACGCACGAAAATATCCACCACTCAGTCTCAGAAACATGCGTTCTAGCCACCAGAGTTGGAAATACGCGATATTGGTGACCTGACCGTCGATCAATTTCGAGGCATATTTCGCCTTACATATGCAGGAGATGCCCATCTGGTCCTCAAGACAAAAGTTCAGGTATCTTTTCATCTTTTATTCATGTTGAAATATGGTTTACCGTAGCCATAACAGGCAAACCCGCTAAACCATAAGCAGCCCGACATTCACCTAATGGTGGGTTCAGGAGGTATGCTTGCAGCGAAGCAACCCCTCGTGGTTCCTATGCTTCTCCGTTTATCCCATTTCCGGCTCAGCTCCTACGTCGTGCTTGTTGTATCCAAGCAGAAAGGGATCACACTTGTCTTCAAAACCGATCCCCTCCAAAATGTCGACATTAACAGTACATTTGATTCAATCGCTGTCATTCAAAAATTTATACAGCGCGAGATCGAGGGACAGCTTCGACAAATGTTTCGAGAAGATCTCCCTGGCATTATTCATCGCCTTAGCCAACAATGGGTCAAAGCAAAAGTTGAAGCCCCATATTTATCCAAACATCCTCCTCCTCCAATCCCTCGTTCTACCCTGGACGCTATGTCCTCGTCATCTCCTGATCTTTCTTCCCATAGACTGGCGGGTTCCGACGTAGGTTTGCATCCACACCTCATGCGACAACAGTCCATGGCATCTTTCAGTTCTCGACGTCCACGCTCCACCTCAGGAATGTCTGTGGCCGGCGCAAGCCGGCCATCACCGTCTTTGAAATCAACTCCCGTCGCTCCTCTAACTCCTGCGTCCGATCCCGTTTCGTTCCCTGACCTCGAGAACTTCGACCCCACGTATGGTCTGCGTCCCGAAGGGTTACCCACCAAAAGTGTATTCAGAGGCTTTAGCAGCCTTTTTTCGCCAAACAAGGGTTTGGCTGATTTAGCTGAAGAAATTAGCGAACCTGGTGACTATGGCGAGGAAGGTGGTTCGTTCGACTTTGTCGACTGGGAAGATACAATTCCAGGTGTCACACCACCTCAAAGTGTATACGATGATCATGATAGTTCGACGGAGTATGAGACTGTGCCAGCTGTTGGAGGAGGGACGGTTACACGACCTAGAGTGTACCACTCACAGTCGGCCATACAACCAGCCCCTGGAATCGCGCCATCCAAATCTTTTTCTTCTATCCCCAACCGCCCTCGTCCGCAGAGGTCTGGCAAGGCTACCCCAAACTATCTTTCGCGTCACTCAGCTGCCTCGATAAATCCATCTTTCCCCGAGTACTTCGCTGGTCCAAGCAATTTGAGCAGGGGATTTTCTGCTGCCAGCTTACCAGGATCATCGTCTCAAATTCCGTACACAGAACAGTCGTCGCTACCCAGACGACCGCGTACACCCGACAGCATCGAAACACCCAACTCGCAGTCGAGTAATGGCGTCTCACGCACCGTTTCTACTCCTCCAACAGAACGTCACGAAGATGACGGCGCAACTTACATGCGACGTCCAACGTACGAACGTCGACTATCCATCTCATCTTCAAATCTAGAATTTCCATTTGGCTCACCTCCAAACCACCACTCATTAGATCCTGATCCAAAAATTGTCCTACGACCGTCTCTCAATAATGCTTCCATACATCAACTATCCACCCTAAGCCATTCAAACCACACCCTATCCCCATACACCCGCTCACTGTCACATTTTACCGTCCGCAGTGTTCCACCACGCGGTATTGGGCCATCAGGACTTTCTGCCTCCTTTGAGCGACAGCCCGTTAAGGCCAAGAGGAAACGAACGTATCGACTTGGCGGGAGGAAGCCGCCCCCTGAGTCCGTTCCTGCTGTCCCTGACTCGCCAGAACGAGCTTCGTCGCCGATTCCGCCATCCGAGTTTGACGAGTCAGATATGGATCGATATTTCCGTTCTTACGATGACCACAGTCGCCCGCCAAACATACGCCAGTATCGCAGCCATCTACACCCATCTTAAACTCTAGCATTTTAGCATAGTACTCCTACCCAATGTGCCTGTATATCAATCAACGTTGTAATTTTCTACACTTTACAGAACTGGAAGCATGTCAGCGCCAAGTGGCGGGGAACTGGTTTCAAAATCCTAAACCACAACGAGTGGTATCAGTAGAAATTACAGGTCGAAATGACCGTTTATACCCACATCCACTATGACCACATAAGCAAGTGTGGATGATGTTTAGACAAGATAAACGTACCATGCATACTAGGAAGCCTACTTGTATTCAGCCTTGCTGACGCAACTTGACGCAACTGACGGAAATCGTTGTTGGCGTAGGTCTTTGTGAGCCCTGTTGCAGCGGGCGAACGTAGGAGGGCAGTTGGCGGAGATATGACAACACCGAGAATATCGGGTGTTTTGGTTCCTTTTGGTGTTGAAGGCGTCAGATCTTTGGGTTGCAAGAGACGCTCGATTGCTTCGAGTGAAAGAGTTAAGCTGTCAGGCAATTCGACCATAGAGGACGCGAAAACCTCGTCTTCATCGATGGTCACTCTTAATTGAACATCTTGGACAGCGGCCTCACGGCCAGGCAGTATACTGGCAAGGTAATCGCACAATCTATTGAACGCCTCAAGCGTAATCCCACGCAGCGTCGTGAGTCTTGAGTTTCCTTGCTCTAGTAACCATTCGAGAATCTGAAGCAAAATTTCGGCCTTCTCTGCTTCCAGGGTCGAGGTGTGGTCGGCGCACGTCGAGAAAAGAGTCCCGATTTCGACTGTTAAATCGTCACAAGATACTGGGTGCGAGGACAACCCTTTGAGAATATCCACAACAAAATCAACCGCGTATGGAGCCGTTGGATCTATCTGCGAGCTGCGAAGGAGACTCAGGAGAATAGTAATTTGGAAATCCGGTTCGAAATCGGTGGCATTTTTCGCAAGGACGTGGATTAATTTGGTAAGAGGTAGCGAGGAGAAGCGGTGGTCCAAAAGTAGCGAAAGATAGGAATGTAGGAGATGGGAAAGTGTGTCATTGGAGGAAAGTGACGTTTTGAACCACGTCGAGAGGCTGGAAGGGGGTGAAGCAATTTCCAACAATAATTGTAGTGATGTTGAAACTTGATGTCGGAGAATGAGTCGATATTCCTCACTGTAGGTTGAATTTGGAAGTGTCTGAAGTATCTGTATCACAGCTTTCAATTCTTCTTGCAATAACCATTCCCCTACTCCCGTGACTCCCTCATCAAGGTTGACCAGTCTCCGAACTAAATGTGCCCGGTTCTCCGCGTCCAGCAGTCGGAAGAAAGTCCTAAGCTCGGGAAGGACACTCGGGATGACTGACATGATCCAATACGATTGGCCGTCGACTTCTACTTCGTTTCTTGGGTCAGGCAAAATGTGGTCCATCAAACTGAAGACCTGAGAGAGATGGTAGGCTGGGTCTCTTTTAGCACTGTGGTTCCCGTGGACAAGCAACGTGCGGAGGATAACCTGAGCACTCAAAGTTCCGGACTCTACGCAGTTGATTGGGCCCGAAAGACTCCTCATGAGGTCAAGGCACGTTTGTCTCCCTCCTTGGGCAGACATGCAAGCTGAGGAAGTTTGACTGAATATCATATCAGCCGCGTCAGTGCACGCAAAGAGATCGGCGACGGAGATCGTCAAACTACACAAAGCACGATTGGGAAGGGGTATCGAAGAGCTTAAACGCGTGATTAAGCGAAGGATATCGTCTGCTGTGCGGAACAGCTGATCAGAAAGTGTTTGGTTCATGCGAGGTATCGGCTGAATTGCGAAGTGTTGATTTAGATCGTCGACAATATCAAAGAGTATGTCCACAAGCCTAGGTACAAATCCGTGGTTGTGCTCGTCCCAGAAGATCTCTAAAACACGCCATTCACCCTTTGGCTCTACCAATTCGCGTTCAACGATTGCCAGAGAGACACGGAGAGTGCGTAGCCTCCTAAGAGAAAAAGGACGGTCGCTCGAGAACGCCAATTCTTCCACAGCAGCCGGTAGTCCATCCTCAGCTACGAAAGCTATTTTTCGCATCGCCAGACGTTCATTCTCTGCAATGAAAGAAAGGGGAGGCTCAAGATTGAGAATTGCTGTGATGACATCATCGAGTAAAACAGCCTGGGGATCATTTGCAAGATTTGACAAAATTCTCTCGGCAAGGATTCCAGACTTTCGAGGAGGATCGTTGTCTGTTGTAATCCATCCCAAACGACGAGTCAGCTGGCGTAGAAGCAGAAGGTGATTTAAGATCTACAAACCACAATGTGAGCTCGTAGATGGAAAACAAAGTGACTCGAGCACAAACCTCTCTATACCCATCAACTCCTTGCCACAAGTTCAAGACTGATAATGTTCGTTCTCGACAGAGATCGTGGCCAATGCTATCTGCCCATGCCCATACTGCAAGGACGCTGGAAATTCCTATGAACGCCCTGACAAAGACAATGAACTCATCATGAGAAACTGCTGGCATTGGATTACGGAACAAAAAAGGGGGATGTGACTGAGAGTTGGGTAAAACTGGATTTTCGCCTAATTTTGTAACAAGCTCTTCGTGGATCATCATACATTCAAGCCATATTCCCAAAGACTGATCATCGGTTCCAATGTCCCTGAGCATGCTGGCACACTGAACAAAATTGCCTCGAGTGTTTGAAAGCGCGTCTTCAAAGCTTTGCCAGCCACGAAGTCTAGAGAGCAATTTGCGCACCGCAGATTGTGTATGCTTGTCTGCCCTGGGACTATTCTGGACACCCTGTAGCATTCTCAAGAGATTGTCGTCACTGCTGAAGTGATGTGCGATGTCTACGTTTGAGACGGCATCCAGTAAGCAAAGTACAGTGGCTTCCTCCAAAGTTTGCTCGTCAAATATCGATGCTAATTCAAGATGCCGCTGCAATTCGTTACACGATTGTCTATAACAATGCTGACGAGCGTACCAAAAAAACCTGCGCAATGCGAGGATGTTGTGGGGCCGCTATGCTCAGAAGTTTCGCGACGTGATAGGATTGGTCATTGTCCTGAAGATCACGTTCAGTATCACCACATTCAAGTGTCCATCCGCTAACCTTGGGACCAATCAAATCTACAATTCTGTCGACGAACGCTGATAAAACTTCTTCCGAAGTATCGTTTCGTATGGGCCTGCTGATAGCTTGGACAATCCCTTCCAGGTCAAAACTTTCATCGTCCCCTCCCAAATCTGCATAAAGATACGGAAAGTCTGGATGATCCCAGTCGTCATCAGATGGCTTGAGACAGAACATCAGCCGCACCACGAGTGGAAGAGAAGGCGAGTCTGGAATGAGGGAAAGCAACTGTTCCGCTAGTTGTATTGGATGCGAGGAACTCGAGGGATCGATGTTTCTGGATAAAGGTACTGGTTCCAAAGAGCCAAATGGTTTAGGTTCGTATATCTGCACCGCAGGAGACTCGGAGACAATTTCCCCATATATTGCCATAGAAAGGGCTTCAAAACTCCCCTTGACAATCATAAGCCGCGTTGCATACTGTAATGTCGTTAGGTCATTTCAGGGCAGCACTATAAATGGTCATCGAGCGCACCTCTGTGCCCATGTCGACTGTAAAGTCGACCTGACCACCAGCATAAGCAATAACGGTTGGGACTAGGGCATTTGGCGCGCGTTGTTTTTCTTTTGAATCCGCTAACGCGTTAGGGTGGACTGGGTGCGCGTTGAAGAAGACATCAAGGAAGAAGGCGTCGGGTTCGGTTGACCTGGGACAAGCCACAAGGAAATGAACAGCAGGACACTGGGGAGTATGAGTAACTCACGCAATTATGTCGGGGCATTGTTTAAACGGTTGAGCACCCTTTGGAAAGATGCGAATCGACGAAACTCGTATTGGTGCGGTAAAACGAATGGCAGCAAGACTTGAAGGGCCTTGCGGTGTCACAGTGCACCATTGAAGCAGCGCCATACTTCGTTGTCGTCGACGTCGAGAATGAAAGGGGCACTGGCGGCATCTTTTCCGATTCGGCGAAGTCCGACTGTAGCCAATTTGCTGCGCACCAAACAACTTTCTCTGACTTTCTTGGCTTCGTCCCTTCATTTCGAATGAGTCGTCCAACTACAATCCAGTTGCCGTTGCTCGACCTTTCTTCCCCTCCGAAGGCAGCACCTCTCAGGGCAAGGGGTCGCAGTGGGAGCATCGTCAAAGTTGAGCAGGTTGGCGACCGTTCCATAGAAGAGATCCTTGACCGAAGTGCGTACGTGAATATCAATGCTGATTGGGTCAATGCCAAGGGTACGCTTCCTATCTTCTCTATATGTTTAATCACGCATTACCTTGCTTGCAGGAGCATGGCTCATCCACGTCGTTCTTATTACATTTGGGAAAATTATCATCGACACCGTCCCAGGCATGACCCAGCAAATAAGTTGGACGCTAGTCAACCTCTTCTACCTAGCTGTATGTTGTGTCCTTCCCTTTCTATCGAGGTACTCACTCACTTTCGCCTGGTGCTAGCTCTCGTATCTCATGTTCCATTGGGTGACCGGTATCCCATTTGAAAACGACCTCCACGGCGGTGCTTACGACGATCTGACGCTTTGGGAACAAATTGACGAGGGCGCACAGTACACGCCCGCAAAGAAATGGCTCTTCTGCGTACCAATAGTATTGTGGGTCCCCGACTCTTATGACGCGAGCATCCACCCCTTAACACGAGTGATCAGATTTTTGGCATCAACACATTACACAAACTACAACCCATGGTTGTTCGCCGTGAACCTCTCAGCACTCATATTTGTGCTGATACCAAAACTCCCACAAGTACGTGACGGATTTGTTGACATGAATAACGCCTGTGTTCTCATGCAATTTCATTGGATCAGTTGCACCGCCAAAGAGTACGGTTCATGGCTGACAATGCATCGGGCGTAGCTACCCCCGTCACCCCCAGCTTTCCTTCCGGCACTTCATTGCCGGATTTGCACCTGTCGGGTCCTAACGATGTTACGGAAGCCCATTTCCGATAATGTCTCCGGGTCTGGTCACATTGCTTCGACGCTCTATAAGTATCAGAATATTTGGAATTCTTGGGAACGGCCGGCAACCATTTTATATCATCCAACGCATGCATTTTGAGATGCCCTGTAACTAATACATAGATGGAGAGATAGGAGATCCATCCTCAACGTCTCGTCACACATCTAGTGGTGTTCTATATGACTATATAATATACTCAGCAATAATCACGACGACTCGGGCGTTTGTTGGTATTGTCGTAATCGTAATCTGTGGAGCACCGTTAGACCCATTTGTGAAGGATAATGCAGGGGACTTCACAAATTCCGAAGTAACATAAGGATGGTAACTTTTCCGACAGCAGGGATGTATAGGGATGCCTTGTCTCGAACGTCTTTTTCAAAGTTCTTGTCAGAGGCGACGTTCAAGCAGATGCAGCCGTCCTTCAAGAGGGCAGTTTTCACTTTGTAACTCGGACTGGGGACAGCAGAGACCACGACATCCGAGATGGCAAGGCATTCTTCCAAAGTCAAATTGCTGGGGTGAACGATATGCCGGGGGTGGTATTTTTGAGCCAATGTCTGCTCAGAAGTAGGGTTAGTTGCAACCCGGGGGCGTTTCGTGTATTCCTAGAAAACGACATTAACGATCCGTTTGGAACTGCAACGCTAAAGTATGGTACGTGGATAGAGTCAATGTCAACGGATAGGACGCGAGCTCCGTCGTTGGCTAGAAGGGCCGCAAGAGGCCTTCCAACAACCTCCGAGCTGTGTAAACCTCTTAGGAACAGTCTACAGTTCCTGGTAAGATTGGCACATACCGGTTGATTACGGTGATTGTTTTCCCATAAGCGCGGTCACCGTAAGGCAGAATCGTGTTATACACGCCAACAAATTCTAAGCATTTGACGATGGCCAGCGGGGTGCACGGAATAATCGACTTGACAGTTCCTGGGGGAGGTTCCTGGGGTTCGACAGTCGAAGGAGATGATGCCGATGGCGTGGGTGAAGCTAAAAGAGATTTGGGATCTATGAATCGGATACTACGCCCAGGATGAGGAGTTGTATCATCTCGAAGGGGAAAAACGGACATACTTGTGGTATAGATTATAGTGGAACTTGAAATGTAATCCTTCGACATCCTTTAGAGGTGAAACGACCTAAATTCGCTGTTGAGTGATTTTCAGAGGGTTGAAATGGATATGTACACACACCTGCTGCAGGTAGTGATCCTGATGCGAGGCAAATAACCTTCAGTTTCTAATGTCGATTGACCTTGGCTAGTCACTAACCTGCTGAACTCCAAATATTGGGTAATAGACCTTGAGCGACGTAAGAATCTATTACTTTCAGAATACAACTTGATATGTGTGCCACTGACCATGATACCATGCACGCTATCGTCCTCGTTAGCATCAATGATCGCTTCCTCGACACCCTCCCCGGCGGCCAGGTCGGACGACAACGCTGCCCCCGTCTTCTTCAAAACAAATTCAAATCCAAGCTCCTCGCATTGCTTCCTTGTGAATTCGGCGTAGTTGTTACTCGGGGCGGATGATGTTGCCAGGATTCCAACAAGCTTGGGTCGAGACGAGCACGCCTCGAGATCTTTCTTGACTTCGTCTCGAAAAGCAGCAGAGATCGGATCTGCCTTGAGGAGAAGGCCCTTTCGTTCTGTAGCCATGTCGAGTTGATGGGTGTGTGTCTGGATCAGGAGGGGAAGGTGCTGGTTGGAGGTTATGAGGCAGATGAAAAGATTTGCATAGATCTAAAAATTTTGATCATCATCTTATCTTATCGAAAAGATCCCAAAATAGATTGAACGACAGAGATCAAGCAGGGATGAATATAATAGATAGCAATTTATGTGAAAAGAAAACAAGACAAGAGGTTAGACGATAGTATATGACAGAAATAGCGAGTTGTGGAAGTTTCACGCATTACCGGATGGCAAATTTGTCAAATGCACTTTCCTTCCGCGACGATGTCGATGATTGGCTCCAAACCTGCCACATCTTGATCGTCTCCTCCTTCGGACACGCCGTGAACACGCTCTCGCCATCTGGACTCAGGCAGCTGTGCGTCACCGCACTCATATGAGCATGTGTTAGCGATAGTAGACGCTTCCCCGACGGATATTCGTGGACCGCAATGGAGTTTGTAAGGGGAGAGGGGACAACGACGCTTGGAGTGACGACGGTTGGACGTGCCTGTTCCCGGGAGGCAATTCCAAGAGAAGACCGTCGTCGAGAGAGGGGTGGTGTAAACGAAGATCCGTGAGTACTCAAAAGTTCCTTGCAGTGAGGTGACCACTGAAGGGATAGCACATTAGTGTTCAAGGAGAGGGTATCCAGCGGCTTTGGACAATGGGCTATCTCAGAGGTGCTCCAGAAGCGAATTTTCCCCTCCGGACTGTAACTGCCAGTTGCGAACAGATCACTCTTCCATGGGCACCAAGCGATAGCCTGGTTGATGGGTAAGTATCACAGCAAATCGTTCAGTTCAGCGAACGCACCTTCACACCCGCTTTATGGCGCATCTTCGGGCTGGCTGTTCCGATATCCAACAATGACTTGCATGCCCTCTTGTCCCATACATGCACCATCCCTTCCGCATCCCCACTGGCGAGATATGTCCCATCCCCGCTCCAACGCAACCCAAGTACAGATTTTCGATGTTGTGACGTCTTGACGACTTTATCCCGAGCACGAACATCATAGAGCGAGATTGTTCCATCCCCCTTCCCTACAGTCAATACATTGCCGTTCCAACCGAAGCTCTTGATTGGTATAAACTCTTTTGGATCGCCCCAAAGACGCACTGGATTCTTTGACCCACCCTCAACCCCTGCGACCCACACCTGTATCCACCCCATGCTGTTTCCAGCAGCAAGGTAGTTCTCTGTCATCTGCTCTCCCCATTCGATGGCATAGATATCAGCGGGGGGTGGTAGCATACACTTGAAAAGGTGACAGACGACTTTAGTATCAAGATTCTGATAGAACACATCTTTCCCGCATGCAACAGCTATTAAATTTCTTTTTGACCAGCTGATGGGGTATGCACTTGGATCCGTAGGAATACCAGGGCTGTCGAGCGTCATGCTGCATTGCCGTCGTTTCGCCAGGTTTTCAACGACTGAAGACGCCCGTATAGCCGGGGGAGTAATAAAGAGGGAAGATACACTTCTGCGCAGAAGGCCGAACGCGTTATCTCCAGAGGTAGAGGACGACGAAATTTCTGTATCATCTCTGAAATTGAATATCTTGTCGTCTGCCAGTCCTAACTTCTTGCATATACGATTAGTTCGTGGTGTAATGTTGAGTGGCAAAAATGTTTTTGGACGAAGTGGCACGAATCTATCCACCTGTCGCTTGATGAATATAAAACTTAAGTTTTGGAAGAAAAGGACTTACCGCTGGCGTAGAAGCGGGCTCTCCACTCGATGATTCAATTCCAAATTCCCTCGATAGATCCATTGAAGCCATAGAGACTCTCCGTCGCTTGTGCGAGTGAAGATTTGTGACTGACGCATGTGTGCGCTTCCTTGAGCTACCAGGCCGAAGGGGTGTTTTGAACAGGCAGTGACTTTCGTTCGTTGCACTGTTGGGCATGGTATAAAATCAGTCGCTCTATACGAACTAGAAAGACTAACGAGTTCATGCTGCGCGATGATTCAACGCAATCCAGGTAAAGAATTAAGTGGCCTGGTGAGAGTTGGGTGAAGGTCAAGAACAAAAGGCGAATACAGTGGCCATATGGACATGGGGAAATAATAATATCAAAGATCAATGCATCAACACGTGACCGTGCAGACGGATAAGATACGTATCATACTGCTGAGAGCACTACAGATGATGAAGGCAGAAATCGTGATATCGAATTCGAGACGGAATAATTCCAAAGTCATGCGGTAATGAACCTTTAACGTTTTAACGCTTATCCTCATGAACACCATTCACCGTGGGTGCTACCTCAGCCTCCGACGGTTCATCATAAGACGGTCCTTCGGTGTACGCCTCAACTTCCTCGTCGGCATCGATGAATGCAGACCCGGATTGACGAGGTCCTCCTTGCGTCTCATCGTCATCGTCGTCTTCATCCATCATCTGTGCCGCACGCTGAAAACGCTCAGTTGACCCCATCACTGATTGACGACTCGGATTGTGATTACCTTCATAGCTTCTGCCTCATTAGAGTAGTGCCTTCCACGCGCACGGACAAACGCCGCGTGTTTTGCGGCAGCTGCATCATTTCCCGTTAGCGAGCCATTTCCCGTCAAGGACGATCTAAGACTTACTCTCTTCGTCCATCTCTTCTTCGAGCTCCACCTCTCCACCAGGTTCGCGAGATTCAGCTCTTATTTCATATCTCGCATCGTTGGGGAGATTGAAGCTCGTGCTTCTGCTCGAGGCTCCACTTCCAGAGCGGGCGGACATCGAGGTACCAGGCCTACCAGTACTTGATGTAGAAGTTCGACGTGAAGAGGGGCCAGAAGTATCTGCTCCGGTGGGCGAGACTGATAGTGTTGGAGATCCAGGCCTATTCTCATCCTCTATATTAATAGGAGACGAATGGAACCCCAAGTCGAGGTTTGGAATGTCTGAGTGACCCGAGTTTTAGAGTGAAGCAAGGTTTCAATAATCGCAACAAACCTCCTTCAATCTCGTCCGTTTCAGCGTTGTACCGCACATATGGTGTTTTGGGTTCCGTGATCTTCATGAGACTATCTTTTTGTATCTCTGTGAGAGCAAGGTTTTCCTCGTCCCATTGTAGACTACTGTGGACGATCGTTAATTAGACGAGAACTGCTCTTTGTGGTTCATCTAGATCTACTTACTGCGAATGGGCGCCTGGCAGTGGTGGGGCGTTCTTCAAGATACCCTTTGGCTTTGGCAGAGACGCCGAGCGAGGGAGAGGAGGGAGTGGTGGTCTGTCTTCAACAGTTGACATGGTTGTATCAGGTTGAACGGGAGATCGAGGACTTTATGGAGCTGTATGATACAACCTCCGAGTCCGCGGCCTGATTAGGGTTCTTCTAATCCGCCAGCAATGCGTAAGTCGGCATGCACAAACTACAGTGTCCTCGCAGTTAGTAGTGTGCTTGTGAAGGTATAATACAAGTCTCCATTGGTCGTACAATCTAAAAGAATCCATCTCACATCCCCAAGCCCATCAGCGCACCTGCTAACCGCTCAGCCACGTTCTCTGGCTCCTGCCTCGCCATCTCGATAATACTAAGAAGCTTTTTTACCCCAATCTGTAGCTTCGAGCTGAGTTGGTCTTTACTGGAACCCAATCCGGCATCTTCCAACATCCGGAGTGCTCGTCTGCGCTCGTCACCACTCGGGAATAATTCCACCTCCCGCAAAACTCGCTCCAGAGCCTTGAGATTGGAAATCGGCGGCACCCTCATTTCTGAATCAAACGTTTCTGAAAGTCCGAGATCTGTAAGGATCGGCCGCAGTGATGATGTGGCTATGATAAGTAGACGACGACCCTGTGGATGGAACTTAGATCAACTTCTTTGGTGAAATCGGCGAAAACCTCACTTTTGGTGGCCTTCGGCTGAACAGAACCAAAAGCGTTTGTAGCACAGCGTTCGAGAATCGGGCACCCATCGGCGTCCAATCTGTTGGGGTTGACAGTGATCAGCGTCCAGGGCAGCGAAGAAGCCACATATCACAAACCTATAAGTCGCTCGATATTGTCTACCACCACTACACTGAGTGGACTCTTGTAACTGTCTGAAAACACCTTTGTAATGGCTGTTACTTTGGCCGACTCGGAGAACCCAACCATATTGTCGGGAGATATGAGCTTGATGAAAGGGTATTGTGATGCTTGGGCGATCGAGGCTCCCAGAGCCGTCTTGCCTGATCCAGGAGGTCCGTGAAGCAATATACTGACGAGAGGAGTGCGTGTCGATGACCTGACTTGTTCTACGAACAACTGACCAGACTTCAACAGCTCCTACGGGAGGTTCAGCATATTCACAACGAATCATACAACGCTCGGACTCACGTCGACAGCGGCATCGTAATGGATTATGCCATTCTGTATCACCTGTTGCAACTCCTCTTCAGAAACACCGAACGCAGGATGAACTTCATCGAGAGCGGACATAAAGTCCGTTCGGTTCACTCGCAGGTTCTCCACATCCTCTGAAATACCGGCCATCGTGCCAACCTTGACATGTCGATTAAAAGCAAAACTCGTCGCGCTCTTGATCAGACCTCCAATCTCTGCACCAGAAAAGTTTTTGGTGAGTGATGCAAGCTCAAGCAAGTCGACATCTTCGTCCATCACCCCGTTCGTTCGCATTTTGGCAGTGTGAATACTGAGTATTTGGTAACGGCCTTTCTCGTCGGGAAGAGATATTTCCATGTGCACTTCAAGACGACCTGGACGTAGAAGGGCCTCGTCGATCATGTCGAGTCGGTTCGTCATACCGATGATTAGAATATTGTTAAGTTGGTCAACGCCATCCATCTACCATATATCACCAATCATGATAGAACAGATGAGGGATAAAAGAACAAACCTTAGAGAGCAGCTGATTAACCACGGTGTCACCGACACCAGTTCCATTGTTCGTCGAACCACGCTGTTTGAAGATGGCGTCCAATTCATCAAAGATGATGATATGCAAACCACTTTCGTCACCCTTCTCCTTGTACTCCTTCTCCGCGTCCGCAAAGAGTTTACGAATGTTTTCTTCGGAAGCACCGACATACTTGCTCAAAATCTCAGGACCGTTCACAACCTTCGGCTCTCTTGCATTCAGCATCTTTCCAATTTGCCGGGCGATGAGGGTTTTTCCTGTCCCTGGAGGCCCATGAAGAATGATACCTGTAGCAACGTGTGAGATGACATACAAGGAGAAAATGGGCGTAAAGCAAACCTTTGACATGTTGTATACCAAGCTTGTCAACGAGGCCTGGTGGGAACACCCGTGATGCAAAAGCGCGACGAAAAATTTCACTGAATTCCGTATCCAGTCCTCCAATACCCATATCCTCAAACTTGAAATTAGGAGCCAGAATGGCATTTGGGGGAGCCCTGGCATTGAATGTCAGTCAAAAAAATGGTTATGACTCGTCAGACGCACTTTTTTGCACTGGACTTGATTTTAATTGCGCTATCTGGTGCTTTCAAAAATGTAACATCTGTCTTCTCCATCAAGATCCCCATGTTTCGGAGATTACTTGTCCTCTGGTTGGCGGGGACACCTTTCCGTTGTTCATCTGCCAGCTCGAGAACTGTCACAAATTTGACCGTGGCTTTCAAGTTCTGGCCGTGGAATTCGAACACGATTACCTCGTCCTGGGACAGCAGAATTCCGCTGAAAGCCTTAACGAAGTTCCGAGCCATCTCATCAGCTGAGAATTGCTCTGCGATTTCATGCCCGCGGCGCAAAAATCCGACTTCCAAGTCTACTGACTGAAGATACGCAGGGGCGGCGGGGTGAGGAGGTGCTGGCAGCGAATCGATGGTGGCCTGGTCGCCTGAGAGAGACAGTCCGATCCATTGGCGTTGCATAGCGGATGCGCCAATCATTCCCTGTTGCAATTTTCCCGTGTTATCATGCCTAAAGAAAGATCAGACTCTTTTTCATCGTTTATTGCTATTGAGCGCTTGCCTGACAGTCAATGCATAGGCTCCGTTAATGAGGACATGTTGACCAAGTGCAAAATCAGATGGATGGACAATCAAGCAATTGGTTAATGCAAGTGCATCGCTTGGAGAGCTTGCTACTCCGAACCTATCCCTGATGCGTTAGACAAGCGAAAAGAATGGAGGACAATTTGACAAACATTCCTCCTGACCGGGGAGGCGGTTTCCTGTCGTAACTACGTTTCTCGAACAGAGCACTTGATGGATCATTGTACGGTGATGGAGGTGGGTTGTACTGGGAAGAAGGTGGTGGTCGCATGTTTGATCGTGGCGCTGGCGGCGCCGGAGGAAGAGAATGTGTAGAATCATTATTGAGACGATTATATGGGTTGGGAGGCGGGGTATTTGTGTTTCCTCTGCTGAAGAAGGACATGGTTTGAGGTGGGTGGATATCAGTGGATATGAAATAGATATCTGAGAACGCGTTATATGGGCTGCGCACGCAATGGTCGTCGTGTCTATTGAGGCTGTATTCAACTCCTAAGATCGAGTTCAGTCAAATCAGCTTACGAACTAAACAGAGGCAAAGTGCTTGGCTCCAAACCTCCATGAACTCACAAGTCAGAGGCTCACTCTCCTCCTCATAACCAACGTTCTTTCCAAACCACATACCACTGGGGGCAATATGGAAGCAGACCCCTTGCTGGATGGTTATCCAGAGATCGACAAACCCTCTTGCCAGCTTCTAGGGCCAACCGCGCTCGTCAGCATTTCATCAACTCGGTGTCACAATGCTCCTCACTTTTCATAGGTCGTGCAAGCTCTTATGGGGATTCTCGTTGTTCTTTCTCTGGTATATAAAAGGCATAGAGAGGCTCATAAACGACCATGGCGAATATGGTCAGTTTTCGTTACGCTCTGCCTACCTCCCTTTCTTACATGTTCATATGCAAGGCTTTTCGACGTTTCGAAACAAATCGTTGGCCAAATGTTCGTTCATGGGGTGAACGTCTTTATATCAGACTTTGTCTCGCAAGCAACAGAAGGCAACGCTTGTGTCTTCTACTTTCTCAACATCTTAATTGATACCACGATCGGTCAGCCTCTTTGTTGGCCTTCTCCAAACGCGTTGTAAACTGACATGACTTCAGGCGTCGGCATGATTTATATAATTCTACATCTTCTCACATATCTATTCTCCGAAAAGTTTAACTTGAAGGGCTTTGAATCTGGGGTTTATGGTAACCCACCTTCCCTCACCTATTGGTATCGACAAGCCGCAATCTATGTTCTCGCTTTGACATCGATGAAATTCATTGTAATTCTGCTCTTGATTTTGTTCCCTGGTATCTTTAGGATAGGCGAATGGCTGCTCAGTTGGACGTGGACTGGGGATGGAGATGCACTACAAGTCATATTGTGCGTGACTCCGTTAAACTTCTCTTCTTCCTTCTAATTGTTAACAACAGCACTATGGGACTATTCCCTATCATGATGAACATTCTACAATTCTGGCTCATTGATTCTATCGTTAAAGCTAGCACCGTCATCCCAGTTGCATTGGGCGAGGGCACTGAAGCCGATCGCGAACCTTTGTTTGGAGTACCGTCAGACGATGAAGACGACGGTCCATCGTTAGGAGGACGAGATCTCGAGAATCAACGCCCCTCCCATCAGTCGCGTTCATCATCGGGATCCTTAGCTCCATCGCGCACCAAGTCTTACGCAACAAGTACCACCACACCTGATGAATATAAGACCGGGGAAAGCGCCTTCGACCAGATTACCGACCAACATTCATATCCTCCCAGTCTTTCGAGTAGCTTCGCTTCTTCCTCGATGATGTCCGAACCACAAGCTCCCAAGGAAGCAAAGAATTTGCTCAAGAAATCGAAACGTCGAAATGCTCCTTCCCCCCTCTACATCCTCCCTTCGAGTCAACCTGCCGTCAACTCTCCACAACAAGCCTTGACATTGCCAGTCACTGTTCCCCGCACACCTAGCCCTGCATTGATAGCTAAACCTGAAGTCCTTGTGGCCACTGAACCAGACAATTGGACGGAATCCTGGGATGACTCGGAAGAATGGGTAAAACAGATAGAGGATGAAGTGCAGACAAAACTGGTGGGACGAGACGAAACACGGAACTCGCATCATATTGTTGTTTGATAAATGCTCAATAAATACATGGGGAGACGTTTATGACATTGCTATTTGTACACTAATTAGTGGTCATCTTCACTATTTGCTTCCGCGTGGATTCCACGTGGTTGACGCGTCATTTTAGAGCGCCAATAAATTTCTCGACTGCCTCAACACACCCCTCTCTTTCGTAAGTACGCCATAGTACTTAGTGCTTTGGATTCTGGTTCGAAATGTCAGAACCACCTACAAAAATCCCAGGGGAATACACTGAAGACGCACCGACTCTCCAAACTTTCTCCCTTGAAAACATTCTCGGCGAGCACCATGACAAGATAGAGCATCCTGGTGTGGAGCTGAGCAATGGAGGCTCCACTGCTACTGGATGGGACCAGGAAGTCATCGAAGAGCCTGTTGTGGAAGGTTTCTGTGTTGAATGTGAAGGTAAGTTCTGTCACTTGTAAAAACTCCTCGCTATTATTTATTCGTGATGCCACTTGGGATGGGTAGACCAGCCTGCGGACGTTGTGTGCGAGACCTGCGCAGATGCTTATTGTGAAGTTTGCTTTGCGGCGCAACATCGAAAGGGATCAAGGAAGAAACATACCTCTAAACCTCTAGATGCACAAAAAAAAGCTAAAACGAACGGCACTTCAAACGGGGTCAAGGCGGATGCAGTTAGTTCTCGTAGTCTTTTACCTTCAATTTACAACTTACCAACTGCAACTGATGTAGATGAACGTCGATGGTGCTGTGGAAGATGGAGACTCAGATGACGATGACTGGGAACGTGTTGTTCCGGGGCCCTCTATTGAAGTACTTGGCGCCCAACCCGCTATCGGTGCAACAGTGGGCGAGTGGTTCGTCGAACGCTCGAGGTTTATCCCATTGCGCCTAACCATCAGCGAACGAAAATATCTTCGTTTGCTCGAGGCTGCACTCACCGTCTCAGACTATACCGATAAAATCGACACAATCGGGTTCGGGCTGTCCAAAGCCAAACGCATTGTGCACCAGATACGAGAGCTGTGTGCTATAATGTCGGGCCTGCTTCTCTCGGCGGATTACAAACGAGGTCAAGAGCTCTTTTCGGATAGGGATTTCCAAGCGAATGCAAACTTTTATCAACAGATTTTCGAACTTGGACGCAGACATAAAATCATGAATCCAGACAAGATGCGTACTACATACGGAAAGCTCATTTATCTTCTCCAGGTTTGTCCACTTTTGTTTGTCATTGCACTGACACTCACGTCGCGTCTAGGACAGCCAAACGCCAGAAGTCAAGGACCTTTTGAGTTTCTCATGCGTGACGTCTATCAAGACTGTTTACTCCGTTTTGGAGGAGCATGACGCCATCGATCTGCTGAGGGACGACCTCATAACGATTGCCACAAAAGAAATCTATTCCGAGGGCCGCTCCCGCCGAGACGTGCAAAAAGACATCAAAAGCAAAGAGCGTGCCATTGAGGTTCTTTCCTCAAAATATCAACGGAAAGATCTACCTCAGGAGCAGGTTCGGCAATGCCTCTACTCTATTGGCGACAATCACGCTTTCTTGCGAGCAAACCGCGATCCGTGTGAACGAATGATCACACATTTGAAGGAGCATTTCCATCCTACCCAAGCAAAGGACGCTCACTCGAGCCTTGCAATTCGGAGTGGGAAGGGTGGTGCGAGATTGTCCCATGACCATAGTAAGCAGTATGCATATGTCCTCCAAAGCCTCACCCTCTGGCGCGAGATCCTACACGGTGCGGACAACCTGCATCCTGCTCAAATCCTTTCATTTAATCATAACCTTTAGACATGTTCCACTTGTGGTCATTGGCTGAACAAGACCTCCTCGCTGAAAATGTCCCCTACCGCCTGCGGGATACCGGCCAGGGTCTCAACCGCGTTCAAGCGGCACCGAAGACGTCACGCATGATGCACACCATCTTACACAACGCACAAAAGAGCGTGGGCACCTGGATTGGCTCGAGTGTCATCCACATGGGCGACCATAACGTACCCAATGCGTTGCTGTTCATCGACAAGTACACGCAAATTTACCGGATCCTGCTCCCGATCTGCAACACCTTGTCGCAAATACCTTCACTTGCAGCCAAGCCCGCGCTACGATCATACATTGACGACGAGTTTGGGTCAGTGGACAATTTGATACAGGAGATTCTGGGTGATTTCTTCCGTCACGGATTCGATGGATCTGGTGCCGACAACTTTTTCGACGCTGGGAGCTGTATAGATGGTAGACTGACGAGCGCATGGAACTGGTGTTCATCTCTCGAGAAGAAGCGGTACTTCCCTGTGTTTTTACTGACTGGTGAGATTTCCCATACCTCAGGCGTGTTTGTATCAGCTGACGTTCATCAGGATTCGTTGGCTTTGACGGAGAATGGTGATCGATAGACAGCATTATAGACACTTCAGCACATACAGCACATAGATCAGGTATCATGATCCTTTTCGGAACCAGCCAGTGCAGCGGGTATGCATATACAAGACCTGAACAGATGAGAGTAAGTACAGCAACACAACTTTTACTTTTGATACTTTTTAAGCTGCTGAATGGGCGGGTGCATGGCCGGCCAGCCTCTTCGCGCTGGAAACGACCTCCAAGATCCCAGCAAGTCCAGACTTCCACGCGACTAACCGCTTCTCCAAAACCTCCCATTGCTTGCGCTCGAACGTCCGCGATGTCGCGCGGCTGATGTGTAGGCTTTGTGCAGTTTGAGAGAGTTTGCCCCACACAAGACCTGCACGAATAACTGTATGCTGCCCAGTGAGCAACGATACTGAGTGAGATAAGATCAACACGTTACCATCAATCACCCATTTCTCAACCTCCGATAAATCGACTTGCAGTGACTCTGCGATTTTTGAGTAGGGGAGATTGTTCCCGATGTATTGGCAGCCCAAAGACGCTAAAGTCAGAAGACGGATTTTCCGTTCAAGTTGCGCGCTCTCAAGATCTGCATTATTTCAGATTGAGATCTTTGGCAGAGATATGCAGGGCACATACTGTATTTCTCCAGTAGCCCTTGATGGCTTTGTTCCCATGTCTTGAACTCCACCAAGCCGTCATTGAGGAAGATTTGAAGCAAAGAAAAGAGCTCGTGGTCTTTTGCGTTGACAACAGCGTCTAGTTTGAAGAGAGGGTCGAAGTCGAAAATGTTGGGTAACCGAAGTGCCGCAACGATAGCGTTGATCACGGCTTCTCGAGATGCTGAAGAGGTGGATGGGAGAGTGCGGATATATACCAGGGAATACTCGTATGAAGTGGTCCTAGAACGTAATTGGCAAAAGGTTTCATGATGAATGGAATCAGACACTCACAGTTCGCCTGCTTTTGCGTATGCATCCACGATACTCTTGAGGAAGGTTGACTTTTCATCTTGCGAAATGTTCCATTCGGACAACCACTTTTCTACATCGGCTCTTGATAGCTTGAGAATCTCGAGGTCGTCATTGGACGTCGCGAGTGCCAAAAGAGTGTTGTACACGGCGAGTCGAAGGGGGGAGTTGCGAGGAATTGAATTGAAGAGGTTAGCAAGTCTGCAAAACATTTATCAGATACATGGCAGGGAAAATAACAGGTATCCAACATTCGGTATTTGATCGACAGACGGTCGGATGGGGATGATGAGAGTGTTTGAAGGAGAGTTGTCAAGTAAGCCTTCGCTTCCGACGAGTCAGCCGGGTAGAGCGCGAAGAGATGCGCGTAGAGAAGGTTGAAGAAGCCCTCGACCTCTGCGATGAATGTTAGCTGTAGGACTGTGTGCACCGATGTTGGGAGGTAGACGCGCCTTTCTCATTGCCATCGCCTAAGCCCTTCACCTCATCGAAAACTTTTGAAAAGATAAGTTTCCGCCTAGCTTCATCCACTTCTATAAGACTATTTCCCTCTTTCGATCTGAAAGCGTCTCGTAGTGGAGATGTGAAAGCGAGTCGTTCTTCCTCTGGTCGATTTCTGACGAGATAAGTGGACAATTCTAAAATCTGTAATGAGGCGGTTAATCAGCTAATTTCTCTTCAAAAATTTAAAGATTTTAACCTGCTCTTCGTATGTTCCTTCGGCAAATATTGATATGGAATCTGTGGAAGTAACCATTTTGTTTCGAGGTGTAGGAAAAGGCCCTCTAATGTCCAAAATTTCAGAGGATGCTTCGTAAACAGAAGCAAACAATAACTTAACATGGACCCATGGTCTGAAAGGCCCCTAATCCTCACGCTTCTATCCAATGCCTGAAACACAATTCAAGCTATCCCAGTTAGACGGTCGTACCCGTTGTTTTTTTTTACCCAGACCGTCCAACTTGGGAGGCTCTTGCATCTAGGTTGGAGCGCCATTATGAAATCCCACTGGACAAGGTTGGAGTTTCTTACATTGACAACGACAATGACGAAATCACTCTGAGCTCAAACATTGAGCTACAGAACTTCTATCGACATTATCACTGTTCTGATGAAGTCATTGAATTTGCTGTTCTCGATTTAAGCTTGGCCCTGGCTGGTGAGTGTATCACTGAGGAAGAATTTGTTTGTTTCAATCCATACCCCCTCTCCTCTAGGTGCAGTGTTGACTTGACCCCTTTGACCTGGTCAACAAACAGGGTCAAGTCAATGGGTCAGTCAATGATTGACCGGTAAGTCAATAAAGGTCAAACAGGTCAAAGTCATGCCATTGGAATTTATGTAAGTCAATTAGAGTAGGTCTGTACCAAGTCTGTACCTCAGTGTACCTGAGTTAGTAACAGTATGTTGGTACTTAATGTTGTGAGGAAAATCTCATCGACTGGCATTTTCAACAATCTACCAAGTCCCAAATGACATCCTGTACATCCCATTCTGCCTTGTCTGCGCAGGGCCTCATTCGCTGGAGGCGCTCAAGCAAGCAATGGTGCTCATGCACGTCTGCGGCTCATGGTGTGCCATTCCATCCATATTCTCCACCTCTGGACATACACTCGCATGTTCCATAGAAGCCCTTTTGGTCGATTCGACGATGGGCCACACATAACTGTGTTATTGTTGTCAACTCCCTCCTCCGACGATAGGCTCGCCTGCCGTTTGAGTTCCACCTTCAAGGACTTTGTGGATATGTCTCGGAGCGCCCGGTCAGAGACTGCTCCAAGGGCGTTTATGGCGAGATGTGTGAGGTGTGAGAACTTGCAGATTGCAATCCCATGTAATAGGCATTTGGATGGGGCGAAGGGGATGCGGATGCCCGTTTTGAAGAGGATTGAGTGGGATATTGTTGGTGGCGAGCAGTCGGTTGATAGTGTTTACAGGTCCGGTCCATAGGACCGAAAAAAACCAGTGGACCGGACTGAACCGGACCATGGTCCGGTCTTTTTTTCGGTTGCAGTTGCCCCAATTTGGGGTTGGTCTGGTTGCTGGTTGCCTCATTTCAAAAATCTTTTAAAACCGTTCAAAGACCAGTTTAAATCGGTTGCAACCGGTTAAACGGTCATGTGCGTTACATACCCTTGTAACCACATTTATTACCTTTAATTGGGTTTTTGTTTCATCAAAAACGGTTAAGAACTGAGAACAATATAACCAAATTCATTTTGGCACAAATACTTGTTTGTGCAACTTGTACCAGAATGACTTTAATTCTAACTCACTCAAACTTTCATCATTTTGCTTGATTCAATTTTTGGATATTGACATTTTAAGTATGAAAATATACTCACCATCTATCAATATATGGTATGCATCAAATAATTTACAGTTGCCACATTACATTTTGCCCAAGTCTTTATGAGATGTAATTCGGTTTCAGTCATAACTATGTCAAGTGTTCATTAAATTTCTTAAAAATTGGTAAAATAATGGGTATTTATATGTTTTACTATGATATATAACCAGTTTATTTTTTAGAGTAATAATAATTGAGATACAAATGGTTTATATTGGTATGATAAATTTTACGCAAAAAGACCGGTCTGAATCAGTTTGAACACGGTCCATGGACTGCAAAAGACCGGTCCTAGGTGGTTCGGTTCGGTTCCCTCAATATCTGGGTCGGTCCTAGACTGGTTGCGGTCCATGGTTGCCTGTTTTCAGGGCAAAAAACCGGACTGAACCGGACCTGCGAACACTATCGGTTGATGATCTTGGGCCGAAGGAGGACTCGAGGGAGATCCGGTTTATGTATTCATATACATCAGCAAAAACCCGTGACTATTTTGATCACCTTGGATTCAGTTGCTACCAGACGACAAGGATCAAAAGGGCTCACAACGACCTTACAATGAGTGCAATCAGTTACCACCGCTTACATCGCTGAGGGATATTTTACAAGATACATTGTCATAGTACAGTAGCGGCATTGTAATGTTTCACAATAATTGCACCCATTGCCAATAGGCATCAGAAATGTATTTATTTTATCAGGTTGCAACTTGCAAGCCCATTAAAAGTGGATTTGAATGAAGATAGAATGTCGCCACAATCTCAATTGGGATATGCATACAGTTGCAGCCTGCACAGTACTAAATAGCCTACACTTCTCATGATCTTTAGCCACCTGCGCAGTGCACCCACATTTGTGCTGCCAAAGACGGTGTCATCTCCCTCATCTCTCGTAGAATCAAAATGTTTCTTGGATAACATAGTTAAGTAAAGGATTGTATTGGCAGAGTAAATCAACAACGCACATTGAAAGCGACCGATACAACCACTGGAGTAGGGGATCTTGAGAACACGTTCATAAAGAAGTGGAGTGGGAGGGTCACCTCGTGACATTCAGAGCAATCACAACTGAATACCAGTATTTTGCGAGTATCAGTTGATGGTCTAAACTTGCGTTGTCAGTGAAAGCTACGGAAATGGAGTGAATCCACGTACCTTGAAATTGCGTTACCCATCCTATCACCCATGGACAACTTCCTTCACATCGACATGGAGGCCCCACGTCACCAGCTCCAAATACCCCCACGCCCGGCACTCCCCCGACGTCACCTTCCTTCATCGTCATCCAAAGGTCATGTCACATTCTCCAATACTTACCGCCCACCGTATACTTGGCATGCGTCGTCGGGCGGCCAGGGTCTTCTGACTGCATTGTGCCACAGATGGGCTTCTGGAGTTGACGAATTTGTTGCGGTTTTGGTGTAACGATTCTGCCATAGTATGCAATGTGTCGATGCCAATGTCATCATGAGTAAGTTTGTGCTGGCCAAGCACATACCCAATCATGAAGACATTGGGCAGGGGGGGGGAGGGGAGAGCGGCAAGTTGGAAAGTTCACAGGTCCAAAATTTTCCGAATTCGGACGTTCAACATCGATGGGAAAGGCAGAGGGCTGACGAGATGGCGAGGAGGCGGCACAATCCCAAGAGGAAACTGGGCCTAGAGAGACAGTAGCTCCGTTGAGCGCCATCATACAGTGAGACGTTTCGAGGCTGGGTGGTTGAGGTTTGAGCGAGGTGGAATGGGAAAAGGCGGCGCCACCATGTTGGTTGGATCCGATCCTTCCCGTGACTCTGACATGTTGAAAAAATGCTTAAGTCCCGTAAAGTAGCAAGGAATGGTAAGGCGCGGGTGACATAGTTGCAACATCTACAAGCCATTTCAGCTATGGTGAACAGATTGTAAATGCATTGTAATGTGTGTTACATATTGTAACGTCTCCCTCGGATTTCACTGGCTTACAATGTCTACCAGTTCCCAGGGTTTTTGCTGATGTACATTACGTTGTAACGTTCCAGCAGAAAATCGAGACAACAATGAGAATAACTACATCGGCATCAAATAGCCATGATTACCAGTATCCCATGAAATCTATTGACCTGGTCAGTCAATAAACATTGACTAACCCCCCCTTTATTGACTGACCCTTTGACTGACTGGGTCTGACCCTGGTCAATGCCAACACTGTCTAGGTGGTGACAGGAAAAAGAACATCAAGCCATCTAAATCAACTGAAGATATAGATGACATTGACAAGAAGATCAAAAAAGAGCTCATATCACTTCAACCAGCAGTGGAATTGTTTCTGAGCAATCCTGAGTAGGGAATATCATGGGTAACCCTGGGGTTTTTTTGGGCTACCCGTACCCGTACCCCACAAAAACCGCACCCCGGGGTAGGGGTGTAGTTCTTGACGGGTTGGGGTTGGGGTTTACATGGGGTACACGGGTAGGTACATGGGGTTGAGTAGTTTACTACTACGCTAACATATGACATCCCAATCTATGGGAGGCTCGCCTTCCTCATCAATCTCTGGCAGCACTACAGCGGCCTTTACATCATTGTCATGTACATACCCCATCAAGCTCCAAACTCCCAAACACATCAAGGCTTGCGTTGACTGAACAGAAAGACGGTTTCGGACATGTGAGAGAACAAGGTGTCCCTGGCTAAAAGTGTGCTCAACGTCGATTGATGTCGCTAAAATTTATATGAGCCAGATATTAGTCAAATTGAAAATAGAACTCACGGGGAATAGAGAGGTAATCCAGTGCCATCCGGTGAAGGCGCGGATAGCGATCCCTTTGTTCATACCACCAAAGCAGGACATCCTTTACATCCTCAGGATCTGTGCTTAAGTAGCGCTCAAGTTCATCACAAAGAGTGGAAGGCATAGGAGCTGTGAGGGAGGGAAGGTTGTCGAAAATATTTTTTGACTCGGATGTAACATGATTCTCCTAACCGTCGATGTAAATGGAAGTTGAAAATACAAATGAAAGTACTTACGGATTCTGAGTTGACAACGTCAACATCACTTGAGGCATATGAATGCTCAAATTCTTCGCGAATGATGTTCTTGGCATTGTCGATCCACTCTGGCAACCAATTCGCATTTTTGAAGTACTGCAACTTATGTCAAGGATGAAGGACTGTGTCATTGTAGAATAATATTAGAAAGAAACAATGAAATTATGAGGTGAGGCTTACCCATAGCGATCCTAAAGACCTCGGAGTGATCAGTTTTGTCGTAGTAGCGGTTGAGTGTTTTTTTGCCGATTGAGAGAGCCGCTTTCATAGCAATCGAGTACTTCGGGTTGCTTGCCGCGTTGAGGAGGTGAGAGTCAAGGTGATCCATGGCTGGTATCACCATTGCGATGTTGGCCCCACTTCGAGAGAAGAAGAGGGTTGCATCTTTGAATATCTGTTGAATGATTAGATACTAACTAAAGATAAGAAGAAAAAAGGCAACGCACTGTCAGAACTTCACAGAGGTCCTCCACAACCCTCCACTCCACCTTACTCAGTTCATATGGCCGCAGGCTCAGCGACTGGTCGCTTATTTCATCAAATGCAGAACGGTAGTCAAGGGCAAACTTGAGCATGTCGTATGTTGAGTTCCAGCAGGTTGACACATCGCGCGGCATCATCCGCTCATCGAGTTTCAATTCGTCGAGGATTGAGAACCATTTCGGAAGGATGATAGTAGTGGAATTCTTGATAGTGAATGCAGCCTTTCGCAGCTGAGACAAAAAAATATTAATTATATAACTGTTAACCCAAATAGAGAACTACCTTTGTCAACACCAAACAGATGGGCTGGATGGCTTCGTCAAGCTCCTCTCTCTCCGCGTCTGTCATGTTAGCTCTCTCGTCAATCCACCCATCCACATTATCATCATCTTCGTCGCCCTCGTCACTATTCACCTCACAGCACTTGGCTTCCTCCTGTTCAATATCACCTGCAAGTTTTACAAGTTCTTCGATGGCGTCGTCAAGGATATCGTCCTTTTTCGTTTTCGGTACGTCAAATTGCTGTAGGATGCTCTTGACGACTAAATTGAGAACATGTAGGAAACAGCGTGTCTGATTTGCGGCACCAGGGAAGTCCAGAAGGAGCTTGGAAAGCTCCTTGACCATGGTGTCATTATTGGTTGCATTATTGCAAGTAATGCTGAGAATCTGAGTTATCCGGTGAGTATGATATAGTATTAATTGATTATGATTGTCTTACCTTGGCTTTGATTCTGAAATCGTCAAGAATTTTTGTGAACGCCATCGCCAAATTGATGCCAGAATGTGAACGGGGGACCTCGACGACATCCAAGAGCATCGACACCGGGACACCCTTGTTTTCGAAGTGGACTGTTATGGCGACATATGCCTTGTGGTTTGGTGATGTCCAGGCATCTGTAGCAAAGCTCAATGCGCCTTCACATTCCTGGGTTTTTGTGGTAAGTGCTTGTGTCTCAGTTCAAGATCAATGACATCATACCTGTAGCATCTTAGCGACGCACTTGCGGACACGAACGAAAACATTCTTGACATCACGGGATACAGTTGGTGGTGAAGGTATGTGGTAGTGAGGTTGGCCCGTCTTCATGAGTTTGATAAAACCTCTATCTTTCATGATTTTGAAGGGCCGTTTACTTTCACATACCCAACAAACAATCTCCGCTCTATCGTCAAAAATATCGGTCAGCCCTCCCAGTGCTAGTGGTCAATTACAAGATACATGCCTTGCTTCTGTCTTCGTATGTTCACGGTGCGAGAATGTTATCTTTCCCTTTCCGATACGCGCAAATTCCGCAGTAATGGATCCATCACGTAACTTCGTCTTTGCTAACATGTCTCTTGCAGCATCTAAATCTTTTGTTGCGTCCGCCGTTTCCACCGCCTCATCCCCCCAACAGATCTTCGCATGCTTGCAGAGGTTGCTGGTGGAGTTCGCATCACCTTTATCCAAAAATCGACGAACATGTTGGCCGTTTTTCACCTTGCATCTGGAAGCATTGCACTCAAAGACATGAGAGGGACGGCTGTCCTTGTACTCAATATGTGGTGTCTTTTTGAAGAACATGTAAATTGGTGAGTTCCATTTCTGCGACATGCACTCTATTTTTTTGTTAGAAGTTGATAATGTTGATGTTTAGCAGGTACGGACTCAATTTTGCTTCGTCGTCTTCCTCCGCCACTTCCACATCCACCATCTTGACTTCTTCCACATTGTTTGCCTTGGCTTTGGCCGTTTTACGGCTCCGCTTTTGGCTGGGGGTATCAGTGTCGTCACTGCCATCGCTCGCTTCAAGGATGTGCTGAGGATTGAGAGGTGGATTGATTATAGGGTGAGCTTCTTCATCCTCAATTTCTTCGACTGATGGGGACCTTCGATTAGATGCTGCTGATGGTGCTGCTCTTGAAGCTGCTGCTTTTTTCGAATTTCTTTCAAGAAGGGTGCAGTAAGTGTTGACTCATTTCATGGGGGCATCGCTGTGACTCACATCTTTTCTTTTTCCTGTTGAATCTCAGCTCTGGTCCTCTTCACGGGAAGGCTGATAGGCATGCCGTTAGCATCTATTGGCACCTTACGCTTGCGAGATCCAGGGTCTTCCATCGGGCTGGGACTAGGATTACAGGCCATGTAGAATGGGTGTACGTGTAGTGTTGATGTCAGGGGTTTTTTTTCTTTCTATTTGTATGGTACTATACAGTTGAAGCTGTTTGGCATCAACGTGGTATACTTCCGCATCCCCAAGACTGCCAAGCCATTTGCTAGAAACCCGTACCATGGGTACGGGTTTGTTGGGGTCACTCTACTGTCAACCCGTGCCTGTACCCCAAGTAAACCCCAGGTCTTACCCCTGGGGTTTGCTCTACCCATGATATTCCCTAATCCTGAGTTACCAATCTGGGTTCCTCCACAGTTCACCACACAAGACACACAGGAATTTATAATGAACCTTCAAATACCAACCTATTGCAATCGCCAACCAAGTCTTTTACTTCATGGTCTTGATAAGTGTGATGGCAAAAGAATCAAAGAGGTGTTTGATGATGGTACACCCTTGTATGTTGTCATATCTTTTCTGAACTTTATTTCATGCCCAAGTGCAGGTGTGTTGGCAACACATCTGGATCAGGTAAAACCTGGTACATCATGGAAGCACTCATGATATATTGGGGTTTCTATCTTGCTGCAACTCCAGATGTGAATGATGTTGGCATTTGAGATTTGCAGGATGCCTTAGAGTTAGTTGCTTGTTATTGGCAATGGGTCCCTGACCTTAATCAAGTCCCTGCCGAGAAACATGCTGCTCAGAATGATGTAAACAACCAGATTGCATCTAGGGCCTTTTGGAGAGTCCTGGCTGCGTGGATAGTGGTTTTCGAGCTTTTCCTACAGGTTGCTATCCAGGTCAATGGCAGCTTGCAGGAGAAGCATAAGCGTATCTGGTTGTTGTTTTAGTTATTTAACCCACTAGATCCTCAGGGTGGAGGCTTGCACCCATTTCTTCAGATCATCAACAAGCTTTGCAATGCCTTGGATGATGTGCTCAATGCATCATTTGGAAACAGAACAATGTCTACATAGATCTATGTAGATGTATAGTGATCGGTAGGCCCGTTGATAGCCTCCTCGTATGTAAAGCTCTGTAATTTCCCCTTTTTACTGTAGTTCAGAGTAGTTCAGGTAGACAATTCCTAGCCAGTCTACCAGGCTCTATGCGGCCTACCGATCAACCAGATCTCAATAGTGATTGAGCGGATTACAGGCACATCTGATCTGTCACCTGCATGGTCTTTCCAGTCACGCCAAAAATGCTGAAAATATCAAAAAAGTATGCAAAAAAATCATATTGCAGCAGCTTGTACTTTACATGCCACCGTAAATTAACTACAAGTACATATATCAACATACACAGGATGTCGGCCACTGCACACTGGAAGGAGCAGGGGATGAACTCGATGTGCAGTCAAATTGATGCCCGGCTTTGTGTGACCATTGTGGACATTCCCCGGCATCGCACAATCAGTTGTCATGGTGCGCCCCCACTCAAACGTGAACCTAACTGTGATAGCAATGGTATTGACTTTAAACAAGGCATTAGTGCACACTCAACAAACAGAAGGGAATGGTGAAGCTCACTGTCATGATTTTCTTGGTCCATAGAAACTAAACATGCAGTGCTGACGTGCAGGGTCGGACTCGATGTGCTTTGAGTCAGAGTTATGCAACAAGGTGAACGTCAGCTCACCAGATGGAATGTGGGGTGAGCAATGACTGCTGTCCATAAGCAGTCCAGGTAAGCATTATACAGGAGGTGTTGTATGCATAATGGAGCTTACCGATGGTAATGGTGGGTGGTGATTGGGAGAACTTTTGAGTCTTTGTGAGGGTAGAGAGAAGAGGGTAAGGAGAACATTGAACGTTGAACGTTAACATTCAAAAAGTGCGGTCGAATGGTTCATGCCATCAGTTCTCCCACGGCCTGTTTTTGGCACTGGATAACGCCACTCGCATCATTCCAGGTACAGATCATCCGCCAAGCCTGATATTCTATGGCAAGTATGGATATACAGGTAGCTACAGGTCTACCAGAGACTACTGGACCTAGGTAGCTCTAGGTAAATCCAAACATTTATGTACGACTACATAATCACAACTAAATTACCTGGCCAAAACGCCGTTCCAGATGATTGATCAATCACCTTAGCAACATCATCATGAAGTATTTTCCCTGCTCCCTGCTCATTTTGGGGCTTGACGAAGCACAGTGGGCTGCCAGATTATATCCCTATTCTGGCATGTCATACTCCAACCCTGGAGCATTTCAATTGATAATCCATGAAATGGTCAGAGCCTTCACCAAGGCACCAGTCAAGCTTGTTGTGTCAGGTACTGGTGTGTCGCTTGCAGACCTAGAGGATAGTGTAGCCTCTGGAGTTGGGAAACCTCTTCATAAAGTCAAAGTGTTTCATGAGCTTGGGATGTTCAACACCTGGCTGAAACTAATGGACTTCCTTGGATGCTATATCCCAGCTTCCTTTCTGAACAATCCTTCAGGGTATTGTCTTCAGCAATGGATGGGAGAATATCTTCTGGGTTGGTGAGTTACTAATGTCATTCTCAATTGTGTGAGTCTCACCAGCAATAGATATCGCTTTTCCATATCATTTCTAGAATGCTTCCTGATGAATGGGCTGCAATTGCCACATAAATTGCTGAATAAATATCTAGAAGAACATCTCACCTGTCCCCCAGGTGATACTGGTGACCCCTTTACTTTGGATGAACCTAATCTCCACACTGAGATCATAGTAATGTTGAAATAGAATCAGTAAGCATCATTTGTTTGTGTGATCAAGGAAAGAAAAGAGAATGGGATTTCCAGTTGTTTCTGTGGCAAACAGATGGCTAATCATGATACAAGCTCTCCTATATATACTGAAATGACATGGGATATATATGAAATGCCCAGAAAAATAATAAATGTACCTTAATCCATATCTCAGGTGCATTGCACATGCTCACACAGCTCCCAGAATTCCAACAAGTAAAGGGTTTTGAGTGGGATAAGCTCCAGTTAGGTTCACTCTTGCCATTCAACATTTTTTTCCCCCCTGACATCAAGCAGATTCCACTGCCATTCAGGAAGCACTAATCATTGTGTGATCTCATGTGATTAGTGGACAATCTTCACAGTATGGACCTGTTACTGCCAGACTTGTTGATAGCTTATCTTTGTAAAGAGCAATGAGCATGAGCCTCCATGGGCAAATGAAGAGGCCCACATTGTTGCATGACTTGATGGGGCTGGTGTACTCCAAGTGTTCACATCACATGTCACATCAACAAAAAAACTACTTTTTTTGATTTGTCTTATGTAAATCAAAAGAAATTTTTTTGGCCATCTCAGTGTGAAACCCAACTCTTGGTGCTGTCTGTTATGGCCAAACTATCAATGAGATCAGATTCATGTGGATCCAAGGGGCTACCAAGGGAAGATTCCATGAAGTCCACTCTCCCAAGTCATACAGTAACCTGCCATCAGAGGCCTGTCATGACCCCAGCCTAATTTGGCAGTGCCATCATCTGTTTTTGGTAACCACTCCTTGTCAATATCTCACCAGACTCATGTTCTATGTGAAATTGGAGCACTATACATTCCATGTAGTGCTAGAAATTCTAAGGATTGTGTTACATAGTTCTCAAGCTTAAGTTCCCTCATGTCCCATCCTTTTGAACAGTGTTGCATTGAGTGTATCAATGTCAGAAATACCACCAAAATCTTCATTGGTACATTAGGTTTCACTTTGCTGGACTCTAGTAGGGAATAGCCTGGGTATGGGTAACCCATATGGGTATTGACCCATGGGTCCCCCGGGTATGGGTCAGGGTCAGCCTCACAATACCCATCCGAAACCCATACCCGTGCCATGGGTTTACCATCAAACTTAAGTAATTATGTACTATATAGCTCATTTACGTAACCTCAGGACGGTGGCTTTCCATTCTTCATGTCTTGAAAAGGCAGAATCAGAAAAAATACCCATCACCTTCCAATCTCCATCACGAAATTCCTATCATGGGCAAGCGGCACAAGGCTGATGATCCCAGTGACATAATTGCTGGGAAGCACAAGCGGACCATCAGTGATAGGGCCAAGGCTGTGGTAAACAAGGTCAAAAATGTTGTTCGTCGCAAATCGAGTAAGAAGGATGCTGACAATACCATGGATATGAGCTCTGTGAGTTCAGATGCACCTTTGACCTCCATCAGACCTGCAAAAAAAGCCCACAAAGTCACTGTGCAGTCTGAGGAAGAAGACAATGAAGCACTGGCTTCCCAAGGTGTCACTGACATTGTGGAAGTCACTGTCGATGGTCACGTCAGAAGCTCCCACTCGCTCAGTCGACAGCCATCTCAGGCATCTGCACACTCATCTACTTCGAGCACACCTTCGGGTCCCGAGCTTGAAGAGGTGTCACAGGAAGAACTTGATCAAAAGCAACTTGGTAAGTCTCTTTATTCATGGTATAAAGTTTAACTTACATCATGTCATTAGAACAAATGAAAAAAGGTTGGAATACTGCTGTATATGCATTCTATGATCCTGATCCAGCCATCAAGTATAATAGTGATGGCCGGAAATGTCACATCTTTCGTTGCACAGGAAGGGGTTGTACACAGCTGATCAAGAGGTACTTGGACACATCAGATGCCCAGTCTACTGGCAACATGTGAAGGCACTTCAAGAAGTGCTGGGGGGAGGACATCCTAAGTGCTGCTGAGGATGCCAAAGATCCCAAGGTCTGGACAAAGGTTCTTCGTGACTATCGACTAAATGGATCAATCACCACTGCATTTGAAAGGAAAGGAAAAGGAAAGGTTACTTACTCACACCAGACCCACATGCGGACTGAGACTAGGTACTGTCTTTGTCTCACTCATGTTGCAAAGCTAATTGTCGAAATTTTTAGGGTGGAGATTGTCCGATGGGTGAGTGAAAGCAACCACCCATTTGCGATCGTGAAAGATCGAGGCTTCCAGTCCCTTATGAAAACTGGCCAGCCTAATCACTACATTCTGCACCCAACGACGGTATCACGCGACATAAAGAAAGTCTTTGCAAGGTCTAGAAGATGGATTGCAAAAATGTTACAGGTCTGTTCATAATGATTTGAATGAAAACATACCTAACACTTATGAAGGAATATGACAGGGCTCTGAACTATGCCACCAACACATGGACATCACCCAACCACTGAGCATACATCGCCATCACTGTCCATCTGGAGTAGTGTTTGAAAGTTAGGTTAGTTAACTGGAAAATAACCAGAAAATAACCGGACCTAACCGCAACACTAACCTAACTGCGGTTAGGGTTAGTTGATTCGAAAATGGAATAACCGGTTATAACCAGCCCTATTATACACCTTCAAAACGCACTTGAGAACATCGAAAATGCTTAAAATTTGACTAAGTTACGGTCAAATCTCTAAAATAACACTCAAATGTGTAGACTTTCAAGGATAATTGCATAAATATGTCAATTCTTCACCGATTTTAGCGTTCTTGGGCTCGTTTTAAAGCTAGAATATGCAGAAATAATATCTATCAAGATACATATGAGCATATTTGCCTTGTTATAACCGATTCTTTATTTTTCGGTCCTAACCGGTTAGTAACTGCAAATAACCGACCGTAACCAGTTAGTTGCGGTCCGGTTAGGTTATTTTAGGTTTCAGGACAAAGGCTAACCGGTCTCAGTCTCGGTTAGAGCCCCTGGGCACCCAATAACCAGACCTAACCGGACTTTCGAACACTAATCTGGAGCAAGACGGTAAACCAATTAGCTTGTTATTGGATATCGTTGAGGTCACACAGGTCAGCTACTCACCAATACATCCCTCTATTTGATTTGCTAACCTGTATTCGTCCTCCGAAGTCACAATCTGGACTCGTCCTAGCAGGAGCATTTGCAAATGTCCTGAAAGAATTTGGAATCAGTGATAAGGTCACGATTTTGCAAACAACATAGAATAAAGGACTGACCAGCTTTCGTTAGACCCTCAGTGTTACATGTGACAACACCAGTCCCAACAATGTCATGATTGACGACCTCGTCAATCTCCTCCCCAACTTCCCTGGTGATGCCAACCATACCCGATGCTTTGCCCACATTGTCAACTTGATCGCAAAGAGTCGTCTTCGGCAATTTGACCTTCCAAAGAAGAAGGGTGACAAGGCACTCGACCAGACCGAACAGGATTTGTTGGATTTAGCAGGGGACATCGACCTCGAGGAAGCAGAGACAAGGGGAGCAGTGGAAGGCAACCTGGACAACGATAATATTGATGGATGGGTTGATGAGGTTGCGCTCTTGACTGAGGAAGAAGCGGCTGAGCTATCGGAAAGTGTACTGCCAGTCAGATTGGTTCTTGTTAAGGTATGAGACTTTCAACAAACCTGGGTTTGTTCTAACCATTCCCTATCACAAGGTTTGGAAAATCACATTTAAAATTGTCCACTTGACAATGATCTTGCTGGATATGCTTGAGGTTGCGTTGAAGTACCGGAAAGCTATCGACATCATGATGAGTTCCAGGGAAAATGGGTTGAGGGAGTATGAACTGAGTCAGGGTGAATGGAAAATTGCTGCACAGCTCTGTGATGTTCTCAATGTATGTCACATCTTGTGACAATGTAACTCTACCACCGTCTCAACACTGTCTCGCTCATTCAGGTCCTCAAAGATGCCACCATGTTCTTTTCATGTGCAACTCCTTATCTCGCAACCATAATCCCCGCCATGGACCTTATCGACCAGGAATTCACAACCAACAGCCTGGACAAATCCTATGAACCTGCAATCCGTGTCGCACTCAATGTTGCCAAGAAAACTCTCAACCGCTACTACACCAAGACCGACCAATCTGAGGCATACTGTATTGCGATGAGTGAGTACCCTACATATTCTTTATGATTATCTAACCATGTAATAAAGTTCTGCACCCCCAACATAAACTCACCTACTTCAAGAACAACAGATGGACAGATGCATGGATCAACACTGTGAAGGACATTGTATGTGCTGAGTTCAACCGGAAATACAGGGATATCAACATTGAGGTAGTGGAGGAAATTGAAGAAGACTTTCAGCCTACATCCGGGGTATGTTGCTCTTAGATGTCTCAGACTTCTTACTACAATGTGCTATACAGAACATGTTCGACAATTTGGCTGTGTTGGCTCCCCCTACTCAGGCTGACCTTCGGGACAAGCTTGACTGCTACCTCAGCACCAATGTGGAGAAGGTGGAGGATGTGATTTGGTGGTGGGTCGAGCATCGTGGGATGTATCCACGACTTTCGTGAATGGCCCTGGATTATCTGACTATTCCTGGTATGTATCACATTCTCCTCTTGCAATCCTCCTCTAACAATACCACTAGCCACATCTGTGGAAGTTGAATGTGTTTTCAGTCACGGCTGACTTCTCCTCTCGCATGTTCGCAACCAAATGTCTGTGCAGACAACTCGCGCCCTCCTTTGTCTTGGGAAATGGAGTCTTATGGGATTTGTACACAACAATGATATCAAGAAGATTGCTAAGCTACCTGAGGTGCCAGAGGAAGATGGAGATTCTGAGGGGGAAGTAGATATGCCGGATGGTTGGGACACCATTATGTGGACAACTTGAAATATATCTTATTTGTAGACAACCCATGGGTTACCCGCTCTGGGTCATACCCACCACTAACCCAGAGGATACCCAGTGGATACCTGTACCCATTGCCATGGGTGTGGGTTTTTGCGGGTGTGGGTGTGAGTTGGCCTTAAGTGACCTGGGGTTTACCCAGGCTATTCGCTAGACTCTAGTGACAGTCAAGGTGGCTTTGGTTTGTTGATGTGCTGCACTTGTTGCAATCAACCATTTCTTTCTTCGGGTCAAGATAAATTGGGAGTATTCTAACAGTTCCATTCAAGTAGTGTTGCCACAAAGTGAACCGAAGTGAATCGAAATGGTGATATGTACTGACTTTGTTACACTTCGACCATTCAAAGTGAATCAAAGTGAACTCGGTGATCCCCAGCTCTGCATCAACCAATCACATTGTTTGCTTAGTTGAGGTACTGTACTATTTCCTTCAATTTGGCAGTAATGTGTCACGTGCCCCTCAAAATCGCTGAAATGTAACACTGGTAACACAAATTTTGGCCAAGTGCCGAAACCATCTGAAAATTCGAAGAAAATACATTAAAAATACAAAAAAAAATCTGGGGGCCTGCATACTATATAGTCTACATAGCTGAGCAAGCTCACAAGAGGTTTCAGTGGACTGGAACACAAATGTCTCAGATTGGGACCCAAGTCTGATGCCTGCCAGACATTTGCCCATGAAATTCACCATCAATAGCCATTGATTCAGACAATGGTGGGAAGTAGACTATTGTCCTTCCAATCATCTTCGTCATGGTGCCACCAGAATCCCTGGTACTGCTTATTAGCAACCTTATTCCTCCTACCACGACCACTACTCTCAGCGACATTTGGTTCCACTGGTGGGAGCATTTCTGGGACCAAATCCACGTTTTCAGTGTCTGCAAGCGATGTCAGTTTCCTACTTTTATGAGCACCCATGGTTTCAGGTATGTCCTTGGTCAACACTGTGATTAGTGTGCCCAATGATAAATCACTATCATCAGCATCCTGGTCTTCAAACTCCATGTCGTGTTCAACATCCTCAGGCAATGTCTCAGCAGTGTCAGGCAACTGTGCATCATCAGCCCCACCCATGGTGAGTTCCGCCCAAAATTCCGGGTTTGTGCTTGCCATCTGACACAGTGCTTCACAAGTTTTAAAGCTAGTCAAGCACGTCATTGATAAATTCCACTTGCGAATGATGCATCTTTTGAATGCCTATGGAAGGTGAGATTTGGGTTTGCTTGAGAAGTGAAGCATACCTTTTTAATGAGCTCTTTATTGCTTAGAGCTTGATATGTGTTCCACATCCATTGCAGACATGTCTTGATGGCTTTGACAATGTCAGGGTACCCAGACTAGAGGTATGTAATGTCAGAGTCATGTCTGCTGCATCAAGTTGGCTAATAACATACCAAGATCCTGCGACAGCCACCGTTACTGTGTCCAGGATTATTACCATCCTCGACTCGACGAAGGACTGACTCCTTCCACTGTGGTTTGGAGCCAGACCGATCCATCCATCCCTCTATGGTGTTGTGGCTTATCTTACTGAAGGTAATTGGGTCTCAGGTCTTCAACTTGTTCGCGATGTCTGAAGCACCCATCCTCCAGCCTACTTGCTTTGTAACAATGACGATTTGTGTCCAGCAAAATGGTGTCAGCCAGTTATGATATTTTGCGGGTCGAGGTTGGTTCTTTTCCTTTCGTTTTCGACCTTGAGGTTTATGGTTCTTAGCATGGACTTTTTCTTTCAGGTTCCTTGCTGGCCATGTCAGCTCTGTGATCTGCATCTTGATTTTTTTTATGCTCAGATCTGTCATGTCTTCCAGTTCCATTTCAACGACCTGCATTGTATTAAGATTATTGTGACTTGTTGTTTAGTCATGCTCACCTTTCGTTTAGTTCCTCTGGGACTGCATACACCACCTCTTATCTCCTTGTCCTTCAACAGCTGTCATCGTTTTTGTTGTTGCAGTTGCCCTTGCTCCCTTTTATGATCCTTTAAATTCATCAACCATTGTTTGCTATTGTGGTCTTCAGCAGAACACATGTTCATGGCCCATTCATCCTCTCTCGCAAAGTAAGCCTTTTTGTCCTCTGCTTTCCCTTTTGAAAAGAATCTGAGCAATCCAAATTTAGACTCCTCACCAAGATCTTCAGCCTCCTTTGCCACATCAAATGCTTCCGAATGGCTGAGACGATCTTCTTCAGTTTCAGCTTCTTATTTCCATCTAGGCGTGGTGAAGACCCTGGTGTCAAGGTTCACTTCAAACTGCTTGCCTGTGGAGGAGTCATTTGGAGTGGGATTGTTGGAAGGGGAGTGGGTGTGACCACAGGTGTGGAGTTGGAAGGTGTGGTACTTTCTGAGATCTCTTCCTTTCTGGGCTGATACATCTCCTCTGCCTCAGCAACATGATCAACACTGGTGCTGGAGATCCATCTAGGTCCTGAGGACTCTATCTCATCATCAGACAGCTCTGATGTTGTTGTGTGGAAGGTAAATCCATAACTGAATGACTAACTTCTTTTAGGATCAAACTCTTTAATGTGGTAGTAACACGTCACCTTGTCATTATGATGTTCCGAAACTCAAAGAAACATCTTCAACCTTTCATCTGCAACAACTCCAGCATCCACCAGTGAATATTTGTCCAGGAACAGATAGAATGCGAGCGTGATCCATGCCAAGATTCTGCATGAATGGGTGTCTCATTGGCATGTTATTGGTAAGTAACTCATTGTGAATCGTGTTCCGGTGTGTTAACTGATCCACCAGGTAAGAGCTTCTTCAATGCCTTCATTGATGGTGCCCCCCATTGAATCGCCATACAGAATCTTTGATGCCTTGAAGTCCACAATGAGCACAACCCAGTGGTCCTCCCTGATATTTGTGATTGTTACCATTGTATCAAGAACCCCAGTTGCCAACTCCTGCCCTTGTTCTCAGAGCCACACGTAGTTAGTGGTGGTTGTGTATCAGTTGCGCCCCTCTGCATTCTGCAATAAATTGAGAAGCCACTTCATGAAGGTGTCACAAACATCAATCCCATCATCCCTTCTCTCCCTCGAAACCTCCTGTTGGAGCAGGTATAGCATTTGGTTCTCATGTTCATCTGTAAACGAGGCCTTGGTTAGGTATGTGGTGAGATGCTCTGTTGATATTGAAGCTGAGAACCCATTGATGTTCCCAGCCCACAAGACACTAATGCATTGTACACACCATTGATACTTTTTGTGTGATCTGTATGCCCCTTCCTGTGCTCCTGTTTGCATAGGGCTTCTTCTGCATCTAACCATTTCTTCTTCAGCGGTTGCAAATGAAAGATTTGTACCCAATAAAAGATGACCCATCAGGGTAGTCGGTGTGTAATCAGTCCTGGTGCATGAAAACAGTGGACTGAGTTAGATTTTGAAAGCTCTGGTGACTTAACAAGCTCATTGACAATTGCAAGAGGTGGTGTTGGTATTACGTGGATTTCTTTGATCCCCGTGATGGTAGCCGTTAGGTTGGAAAGAAGGTTTTGCGATGGGTTGAAGGATCTGTTTGCAGCTCAAGCTGGTGCAGGAAGGGGAAACTTCAAAAAGTCGGCAATAGACATATCCTTGTGGGGAAGGATAATTTGCTGTATTTTGGGGGGGATCTGAGGTAGTGGCAGGCTGTCGTTGGCCATCTTGGTTGTGAAATGAGGGTGAAATTTGCAATTTTGGATGCACACTGTGCCGGTTCATCTGATACCTGGTCATTTAAGTATTGCTTTCTTGAGACCTCTTATTTCTCTTATTTTTCATAATACCACTGTTATCATCATCTACATATTCTAGGAATCCTTGTACAGACCACCAGCACACATTACACTTGCTGCCTGAACAAAATTTACCATACATGCTGAAAATAATTGGATGTCACACTCAAATCTGGCATCTGCTGAAATAAAAATTTTGGCAGGCTGGTAATGTGTCATGCTGGGTGCCGAATTGAAGAAAATAGTACAGTATGTAAGAGGCAGCAAGACAACTTTGTATGCATAGGTAGACATATAGCATTCCAGTTACAAAGAAATTGACTACATATGAGAGCCCTTGTTACAGGTATTGTCAATGTTCTGTATCAGATCCCTCATTTATGACACAGACACATGGCTTCTTCATCTTGATGTATGGTGGAGGGCGAATCGAGATGAAGCTGGATGATGGATGGGTATAGTGTTTAAAAGTCTGGTCCGGTCTGGTTTTTTGATGCCCCAGGGCTTAGACCATAACCGTAACCAGTCTGCCTCTTTCCCAGAAGTCAAAAGACTGAACCGGACTGCAAAAAACCGCAGTCTGCAGTCTTTTTGCAGTCTATAGACCAGTCTTGGTCTTCTTCAGTTTTAACCGGTTTCAGACCGGTCTTTCAGCCAATATTTTAGAGTTATGAGTTGGTGAATTTATTGACGTTTTTATTAGCTTTAAAATGAGCCCAAGAACGTTAAATTCCGTTAAGAATTGGTGTTTCTATAAAAAAAGTCTGGTACATCTACTATTTTCAACAATATTTTACATCTTCAACTATATCTTTGTCAGTTTTTGACCAATTAATACATTCTTGGGGTGCATTTTGAAGGGTATTTAGTGGGCTACAAAAACCCGGTCCTAACTGGTCAAGACCAGTTCACTTAGACCGGTTTTTTTGTGGTCTTTACTTTTAAAAAATGAAAAGACTGGACCTGTGATCCAGTCCTTTGCAGTCTTGGTTCGGTCTGGTTATGGTCTTTTTCTAGTCCTGAGACCGGACTTCCAAACACTAGATGAGTATTAACTCTCATCATGTTTGACGTCTACAAGTGGACATCATGGACAACATTCAGACAAATCTTCGATAAGGGTGAATGTTGAGCTGAATCCATCTGTAGCCCCACTTGCTTTCCTTTCATTGACTTTCATTAGTAGTGTTTGAAAGTTAGGTTAGTTAACCAGAAAATAACTGGAAAATAACTGGACCTAACTGCAACACTAACCTAACCGCAGTTAGGGTTAGTTGATTTCGAAAATGGAATAACTGGTTATTTTGCAGTTAACTAACCGTTAAATAACCGGTTATAACCAGCCCTATTATACACCTTCAAAACGCACTTGAGAACGTTGAAAACGCTCAAAATTTGACTAAGTTACAGTCAAATCTCTAAAATATCACTCAAATGTGTAGACTTTCAAGGATAATTGCATAAATATGTCAATTCTTCACCAATTTTAGCATTCTTGGCAAGGGGCAACCACCCGAGCATCCGGTTGGGTCAACTGGTCCTATCAGGGTTGTGGGATTTAGCCTGATTTGACACGTGCATCCAAATGTCACAGTAGTAGTCCCATATTCTTATCTGTACATAGATCAGTTAGGTGTATGGCTCTTTGCCTCCATAGCATGTTCCATAAATTCGATAAAATGAGAAGAATACTCAAGCATTTTTCACTCTGCACAAGGTGGGTAGTCTGTACTGAGAATAGTTTTAAGGCATCTTTTAGATTGAAGATATATTTCATTTTCTTCTTCTCCAAATAAGACAGGTTTCCATCCCATCACTTTCACCTCATGTTGATGATATGGATAAGTTTCCCAGATCGAGCCTGGAAGCCACTTGATAGCCAAACCTGAGCAAGGAACTTCTTGCACTCCAGTAACCACGATCCGAGGCACAATAGATGGTGGAGGAGGAGGTGGTGGAAGACCTTGATTTTTTCGTGTTTGTAGGCATAGTCCCATACCATGGTGAAGCAGAAAGTTCCGTGGATTTGCTGTTGTCATCAGAGAAATGTCTGTACTGCAAAGATCACATTGAATACTGTGCTTCCCAGTAATATTATTGATTGTGGTTGTTATCCTAGGAGCGCCAGGGAGTTGAATTTCCTTTGGATCTTCAGCTGCGGGTCGAGGTTTTGGCATTTCTTTCAGTGAGAATGGGGGGAAGGAACAACAAATCAATTGAAAAGCCTGTCTACGGTGAAAACACAACATGCAAGGCAGATATTTTACCTGTTATGGTAAGGGTCTTCAATTGAATCTGTGGAGTGCATTGAAGCAATGTTGAAGGCGCATGCTAAATGAGCGCAGGCGTGACAATCATTTTGGGATTGCACATGTTGACTCCCACAACCCTGATGGGACCAGTTGTCCTAACTGGATGCTCGGGTGGTTGCCCCTTGGTTCTTGGGCTCGTTTTAAAGCTAGAATATGCAGAAATAATATCAATCAAGATACATATGAGCATATTTGCCTTGTTATAACTGATTCTTTATTTTTCGGTCCTAACCGGTTAGTAACTGCAAATAACTGACTGTAACCAGTTAGTTGCGGTCCGATTAGGTTATTTTAGGTTTTGGGACAAAGGCTAACCAGTCTCGGTCTCAGTTAGGGCCCCTGGGAACCAAATAACCAGACCTAACTGGACTTTCAAACACTATTCATTAGCCCCAAGGTTGTGCTTAAAGCCTCTTACTGATGTGAGAGCATGTCCACCTCTCACATCATCATCTTTCTGGAGAGGCTTCTCTGTTTTTGCAGAGAAGATGATGTATTCTTCAGCTGGCATCACATCAACAACCAACTCTTCCAAGTTGAAACATGGCTGAGTGTTGTGACTTGCCCCAGCCTGGTGAATGTGATGTCAAGAAACTGCAGGGTAAGAAATACAGAGAGGGACATTGGTTTCATTCCACGAGAACGGCCAGGCTTTATTCTTGCGAGACATCTGATTTTTGTCCCAAGACCATAGAGTACAATAAAAAAAACCTGTCTGATCAAGGGGGTACCGGGATTTAAATCCCAGACCAGGGGCCGGTTGGTTGGTTCAGCCACCAGGCTGCTAATATTTTTTTTGACATACCAAAATTTCAGTGCAAAACAACGAGAGGGTGATTGGACAGTGCTCAGATAACTGCCAGAATGCATGAGCTTGAATATATTGGGTCTATCTGAACATAAAGAAGCCAAAAACTAGCTCTAAGATGAGATAGGACTTGGAATTGAGATCACATGTTGTGAAATACCTTTCTCTACAACATTGCTGCCTGAAAACAGCAAGCACCTACAGTGACTTACTTTAATTCAATGTAGCAGGCAGCTCAGTAGTTCAATTTCAATAGTGAATTTTATGGTCAACTTCATCATAGTATCATTTCAAGCTCAACGGGGAGCTCAAAGAATGGGTTTTCATGGCCTGCTGGGCATTGGGTGATGGAAAAGGGGAAAAAATGGCACGTGGATGACATCATATTTCCTAAAATGGACATGTGCCTGATTACGTTGGGTGGTTGGTTCAGCCCAAGTCCCACTAAAAATAATTTCGACACCCGGTCCTTATTTTAAATCCTGGCACCCCCTTGTGTCTGATATAAAAAATGGGACCATGCACTTCAGAAACATATGAATGACATGATAGTTAACTTATCTTGGCTGAGAAATAGGAAGAGAGGAAGGAGGGGATGAGGAACAGTAGAGACATGTCTTTAATAGCATGGCACCTCAAGCTCAAGGCTCATGTGTGTTGAACCTTCCATTTTTGGCCGTTTTTGATGCTCATCACAAACTGACTTCGACTCACTTCGAAGTGTCGAAGTGGCACAAAGTGGTGTGATTTCCGAATCGAATCGAAGTTACTTCAATTTGACAGCAACACTACATTCAAGACAATCCATTGGAGTCAAAAAATTATTATGGTGAAGCATGAATTTTTTTTGGTGGCATAAGAATTTAGTGCCATGTATGGATGGTAAGGACAGTAAGCGCTACATATGTAAGTACTGTCAACAACAAGAACAGGTTGCAGAACTGTTCTGAAGTTTGA